GGAAACTTCCGCGACCTTGTCAATGAGCGATACTCGCGCTCTATAGCTTGCTTATTTACTAAGAAGGAGCCCGTTAGCCTGTAACCACACATTTTACTTCAAAATTCTACTACCATCTTTCCTCCCCCTTAAGCTCAGAGGTCTCTCAGTGAGCTATAGAGAGAGCTAGGCTCGGAGTTTCTTACACGTGACAGACTTCCAAATGAGGATATCCGCAATAGAACCAGTGAGCTTAAGAGGCAATGGCCGGCCATATATCTCGAAGAACCGCCAACCGATGGGAAAGAAAGGTTCTCGAGTGGCAGCTTAGTACCTGTAAGCGAAGTGCATGGCGGACCCTTGGATGGAGTGACGACCTGGTAAGAGATACAGGAAGTCGATGAATGCAGGTGACACAGGATCGTGCTCTGTGGCATTCCTTGGGTGTGATATTTGTTCAGCAATGATCTTACGAAGGCCTATAATGATGATGATGATGATGATAAGGCATATAATTTACTAAGTGTGCTAAATTACCAATAGTAATCAAGAGTATAATAAATGAAACACAAAACACCAATAAACATTACTTCATTCAGAGATCTACTCCACAATTTTATTAAAAAAAAATCCATAAATCTCATCATAAAAATAATCCACTTTCATTTTATAATAACCAACATTTAGGAAATTAAGATCAAACCTGAATAATTTTTCCATCTTAAGGCCAACTTTAAATCTGTAAGTTTTACTCACGTAAGAATAGTTACCTTATGAATTGATAGGATATGTACGATAAATATGCAAATGTAAAACACATTCTTTACGTTTGCAATTTTATCGTAAAATCCTTTCCATTCAATCTGATAATATTGTCTTAGAACTGGCGGAAATTGAAAAAACTTGATCTAAATTTCAAGGAAATCAAATTCATAAAACACTTTCTGAACTTAACAAAATTAAAATTTAAGTAGTTATGAAACAAAGAACTTTATTGAAAAAAATGGATAAATTAAAATTTGAGACTGACCATTAGTCTCAGCTGGTGGTTCTTAGTTTTTAATAACTGGTGCTACTTGTTTTAGCAAAAAAAAATACGGAAGCAACTTACAAGTGTAAAGGCGGCCTACGTCAATACATTGTACAATTTATTTACATAAAAATTATCACAAAGTAAGCAGATTATTTAGTTTAGTAGAGAAAGCCTACAAGCCCGCCCGTGGTGGATGAAAATACATTTAATATATTTTTGCGATGCGATGCGATGTCAGCAGTTATGGATTTCATTCAGTCTGTAAGAGAAAAAGCTATTAGAAATTGCATACAGAATTGCTAATTCAAATTCTTAGCATGCATATGTATTATATTCAGTTCTGGTTTATTTAAAGCTTTCAGGTACGACGAACCTAAAACACCTGTTCTACTAAGAAGTACTGACAAGTTTGTAAAAAAGGTATGAAGTTTTGCATTATAATAATTGTTTACAATTATATTTATAAAGCATGGTCGCGGAGCAGGATTTTTTTATTGCTTTGCATTTTTAAACTTAATTCCCATTATAAAAAGTTTTATTTCTATTGCAACTAAGACAGTTTTAGGAGATGTTGAATAGTATTTGTGATTCGAAAACAGAGTTTATTATCAAGTAATTAAAGTTCACATTTGTATGAATTGCAATAATTTGAAATTCTTCCTGCTCCGCGATCACGCCATACTAGCTAATACCCGCAACTTCTTACGCGTTGCTTACACACATCACTGAGCACGTAGTGCTTATAAAAATCGTTGTTTCTTAAAACTTTAATAACTTCATATTAAATGAATATCTCGCAATTTTTTTAGACTAGGCATTCCATATGTCAGTCCTCAGGGGTGACAACAACGCAAATGCATTTTGATTCTTAAATGAGAGCAAATGTAGATGTCTATGGGTCACAGCAACCACTTACCATCAAAAAAATTGCATTGCGAGGATTGCCATAACTGTCATTTCTATGATATCATCAGTACATCCTATGTCTATTTATACAAATAAAATACTATTGTAGTTTATACCGGGTGTCCGGTGGCAGAATTAGGATTTAAATTTCGAACTGTTTTCGAACCGTTAGCGGAGGGGCGGGCGGGGGGGTCACGTTCGATTCGTCATTCGTGCGGGTTCCTTAGTCACGATGTCGCAGTGGACGGGTGAACAACGTGCGTTCGCAATCGAAGCTTATTTTAAAGCAAACGATTCCTGTGCTATTGCTCGTCGAAGATTTTGTTCGCGGTACAATATCCGACGGTTACGTGATGCGCCAAGCGAAAATTTGATTCGATTGTGGGTGCGGAGGTTCAGAAAAACAAGTTCAGCAGCAAATAATCCGCGGCCGGGATCCAGCAGAACGTCGAGGACTGATGACAACATCGAACTTGTCGCAAACAGTTTACGCGATAACCCGCGACAGTCCGTGCGTAAGAGAGCGGCTGCTCTAGGGCTCCCAAAAACGATTGTGCACGAAATATTGAAAAAGGACCTTAAACTTCACCCCTTTAAAATTCAAATTGTGCAAGCGCTTAAGCCTAATGATTACAATTGGCGCAAAAGTTTCTGCGAAACAATGTTGCAGCGATTTCGTACAGTGAACACAATCTTTTGGAGCGATGAAGCCCATTTTCATTTAAATGGAAGTGTAAATAAACAGAACTGCCGTTATTGGTCACCTAAAGGACAGAACCCGCGATTGAAACATCAACAGCCACTTCACAGTCCCAAAGTGACGGTTTGGTGTGCATTGTCAAGCAGAGGAATAATCGGACCCTATTTTTTTGAAAATCGTCAAGGACAAGCCATTACTGTAACCGGCGTTTCTTATCGGCGAATGCTTAACGATTTTTTCCTGCCAATATTAAGAGAACATCCTGCCTACAGTTCACAGACATGGTTTCAGCAAGATGGCGCCACGCCTCACACTGCTAGAGAGACCATGGCGCTTCTTCGTGATTTGTTCCCTAACAAATTGATAAGCCGTTTTGCTGACATCCCCTGGCCACCCAGGTCGCCGGATCTTACCCCCATGGACTTTTTTCTGTGGGGGTACCTCAAAAGTAAAGTTTATGAAACCGCCCCACCGACCATCTCAGCATTAAAAGAAAATATCGTTCGCGAGGTTAATGGCATCCCGACGTCCCTTCTCCAGCGAGTGGCGCGCAATACTGAAGCCAGATTCCAAGAGTGTGTCCGACGTGATGGTCAACATTTAGACGAAATAATTTTTAAGAAATAAAACCCGCACTTCCCTTCTTTGTTATAGTCATTGAAATAAAAAAAAATATTTTGCAGTTTTTTTATTATTTAATTTTGAAATCCTAATTCTGCCACCGGACACCCGGTATATATTGTCATGTCAAGTCTATAAAATCTTTTTCTGTATCATTCGGCAGACTAGTCATTAACCACTAATATCACAGAATAAATAAAACAGTACAAGAACAGAAGGATCACTCTCGGATAGCAAACTTGCGAGTCTAAACCTAGCTACAACGTCGCTAATGTTAATAATAATTTGCACCTTCGTGAAATTAGCCTACGTCGAAAGAAAAATTAATACGGCGCGCGTATTAAATCAAAATGCACGTTACGTCCGCGTGCGAGTGTCTATACCACTTAGACCGTTACGCGCCTTTGTTAAGGCCGGCTCTACCTCTACTCTACGGGGTTAGGTGTTGTGAGAAAACAAATTGAATCCTTTGATATTGGTTGGTATATAGTAGAATACACCGAGGTGTTATGGAATGTATTAGTATTCTTTTTTATTTTGTTAAAAAAAATTACCCCCACACTACGATTTTCTCCTGTATCGTGGAGGCAGTTAACAAACATAAATTGCAAATGAACATACATCTAGACCCGGAACTATTATTTGTAGGCCATACAAATACTTAATATAATATTATTATTATTAATACTAAATCCGTCCAGGATTCGAACCCGCGGTCCTTGGCGCTTCAACTCATTACTAAGCCACTGCGCCACGGAGCTGTCACTTGTCTGTTTCACATTTTCTGCTATTTACAAACATGCGACACGCAACTTCATTATTAACGAAAGAGTGGCAATGAGAAGTGCCACTATTTCAATCTTTTTCTTTTATCGACCAAGTGTTAAACTAAAACCAGTATAATATGCTGATCTTGCATTAGTAGACAGTTACTAGTTCTGGGAGGTTGACTTACACTGACCGAATTTTTAAGGGCATTGGCATTATACGCGAAAAAATCTAAAACAGCGAAGCTGTGGTCAGGTCACTAATCAAATAATAAATCTGTAACTATAGTCGTTTGGCGTCAGTAACTAAGAACCTACCTAATTATCTAGATCTACCTATATATAATTATATCCTTAGGAACAGTAAAGAATGAAAAGTCGACATTCCCATTGTTATTTAAGCACCCGCATGCTATGCAGTACCTTTTGGCTTTTTGAGAGGCTATACTTGAATAAAAACTCAATAATAAATATCAAAAGTGGCTAAATACATATAAGAAAAAAATACTTTTTTGTTAGCGTAAGGCGCGCGTCAGCTCGAGCGCGCTCGTGACAATTACACGGAATTAGCCGTTTGTACGACGTACGACGACTTGACCACGCAGCGTAGGTATATCTTCGACGATTCGAAATTCGACCATTTTAATCGGTTAAGGTGTTTTATATGGAAACATGTACACTTGCTTTAATTTGCCCGCCTTGACGGCTAAATGGTAGAACTATTCCTATTACGACCTATTTCGGCCGCAAAATAACAGTGCTTGCACTCATGTGCTCCGGTGTGAATGGTACAGGGAGCCAGTATACATTTGCAGTTATTATTATTAGTTGGCTGCAGGCTTGCAGGTGTCCACGGACTACAGTAGCCACTTACCACCAGATGGACCGTAAGTTTATTTGTCACTTCCGTTTTATAGAAAAAAAAACACACACACACACACATGATACTTTTTCTACATATCTCTGACACAGTGCCTAGGAAAAAATGTAATTTTCATTTTCTCGCTGACATTTGTCTATGTTCATGTATTAATTTATTACAATAATGTTGCAAATGTTTCCTCACCTTATTATTTGCCGAATCCTGTGGGAAAAAATAGCTTTTCTTCTTTTTAACATAGGTAGCGTCAAGGTGATTTCTGAAATGATCAAATAAAAAACATAACAAAATATTTTATAACCTTACTTTTTACTATTAAACTAAAGCATTAAGTAATATAAATATGATAATTATCTACTAAAAAATAACTATAGCTACGACCAGAAAAATAAAAACTCCTGTCACGTTGTACATATTTGTATGTATTCTTTAATTATATAATAATCTTCCGCTCACCAGATGTCGCTAATTGAAACTGAGGTAAAGTTTTTTGTTACACATTGTCATTTAATTGAGAAGTTAGATTTAAATAAAAGTTTATTAGTTTCTAGAGTAATAAATTAATACACAAAACAATGTCTCAGTGGTTTACTCTTTAGTTTTTTGTACATATTAACTTTTTTTTATTTTTTACTTTTAAGGATATCTTCGGTTTGATTTATTTATTTTTAATCTAATTAATATAAATTATAACTAATAGTATAGAAAGAAACTTTAACTTTTTCATTTTCCAAAAAAATTAACTTCCCTGCTATGAAATCTGCCAAATATTATGCCTCATATTTAAGTGGCACCGCCCTGGTGGCAAAAGTCGTGGATGTCCGCATTGCTGTCCGTTAGCTCGCTAAAACTCGAAAATGGCTCTATTGATTTTGATGAAATTATTTGTATGTTTGAGTAGGTTTCCTGGATAGCTAAGATTCACAATTGGACCCAGTAGGTGGCGCTGCTGTTGAGATCCAGTAATCACCCGTGCGAAGCCGGGGCGGATCGCTAGTATGTAATAAAGTCTAACACTATTGAAATGTCTGTACTTGGATAGCCATTGGAGTCTTACTGTACAAACACACCAACACTTCAATATATCGCCAGTCAACCCTGGCACCGCTGAAGGCACTGTAGGCATCGCTTAAATATCGACTGAATTTGAGGCGTTCTCATAGTCTAGTTTAGAATAAAATCCGTACCGAAGGTGTATTCGCAGAAGAAGAGCAATTGACATAGCCCAGAGGATCAGCAAGCTTAAGTGATTGTCATATCGCTTGAAGAACTGACAACCGATGGGGAAGAAAACTCAATTAGCAGATGTTTGGGCATTATCCTCCCACTAGATGGAGCGACGACCTGTAAAACACGCAGGTAGTTTTTGGAGCAGGTGGCTGAGGATCATAATTTGTGACAATATATGGGGGTTGCGAGGCCTATATACAGTAGCGGACTTGTGATGAGCTGTAATTTGAATTGTTAACATACGGATGTGCTGTGCTGTGCAATCCTCTCATTGCGGGATTTCCATTTTTCTGGTCTAGCTATAATTAAAATATTGGTTGAAATCTACTAATAAAGTACATTTAAGTCCGCCCTTCTAGATTCTTTTAGATTAAGGAATGCAATAAAGAATAAATAAATAAATAAATATATGTAAAGATGTTTCTTTACATATATTTATACCAATACGAAAATGTAATATGCAACACATATACATTGCTTAAAATCTAAGCTACAACTGACCTCTATTAATGATATACAATTTTTATTTTCTAATTATACGTCGTTCAGTGTATTGTATGGATATAAACGTCTTTATACAGCAGTGGATTTAGGAAGGTTGGAAAATACAATCGTAAATATTAGAAAGATAAACATATAAGAAGATATAAAAATAAACTTGCTGATTGCCCCATTGCTGTCATTTGTTTATGTATAATATAATTGTGACATTTTATGATTTTGGACCCATAAACTCGTATTAAGGTTGTTTTTACGCGTGATTACAGACTGTGACATATGCACACACACTTGCACAAGTACATACACTCAAGAGTTATTTCCTTATTTACATACACAACCATAGTTCCGCAGAGCAGATTACGCTTTACAATAATTATAATCTAATTAAAAACAAATACAATGTTCTATCAAAATCTATGTATGATTCAATATTTAACTAAAGTGAGCGCAATAAACTAGCTACAAATGCTTTGCAGAACTATGCACTTACAGCAAGAATTTGTTTTAAAATGTCCTTTCTTCTTAAAAATATGCCAAATGCCCGAAAGGTTTTTATAGAAAGTGTACTTCTCAGTATGCCTTTGAAATAAGAAAAATATTTTTAAATGTTAATAGTTATCATATTTTATTTCTATTTATTTATAAACAAATAAATAAAACATTATCAGAAGAAAAAGTAAGGGCATAGTTCGGCAATTCAGACATCAAGTTAATAACCTCGCGCATCAAATACTTCAAGAAGTGGCCCATCACGTTATATTTAGCCACGTCCATTCCATATTGAAACATGCTGTTGGCACAATATGACGACATCGGAGCCACACAAGTATTGTACAGCAAAAGCGCTAACATCCATTTCTGCTTACGACTGCCACTTTTTAAGCTTTTATCAGACACAACTGGCAAAAGACGAGAATTTTGACGATTTCGGCTTGTTTCCGGATCCTTTGTTAATGTATCCTCTTTTTGTGCCATCTCATTCAATTCCTGTGACGATTCAAATCTAAACGTGTTCAAAAGCTTAGTTCTACAATAATAAGATTCAATTTTGTAATTAAATGAATATTTACAACTCACCGTTTGTCAAAGTAAGACGACGACGGAGGCGTAGTGTCTAGAGCACTAAGCTCTGAACTGGAAGGCTGAAATTAAATAAATTGTGTAAGTTATTTTTTACACCCATTTTATATATCGAATAAGAGTGGCAAACAAATCCTCATCTCTTGTGATCGTTAATGCATGCTTGGCCTATAGACACCTACATATTATCCTCAATTAAAAATCAAAATGTAGATGCGTTTTTAATCCAGATGACCAAGATGGAATGCCTCGTTTCCAGTAAAAAAGGGCCTTGGTTCTCTACACTCACCATACAAAATACAGCAACATTATGCTGTCATTTTAAGCTGGTATTCCGTGACAGTGTAATCCTTCCCCGGTCGAGCTGACTCATCATATATTGACTTGAGTTGTTGTTTTGTTGTCATAGACATTATATTACATATAAATTAACATCTAAACTTAATTAAAATTGCAATCTAAAGTTCAATCATAATTTACTTTAAATCATGATATCATGTTGTCATTGTAATAATATATAATAATAATAATATTTTTTATTGACAAATAAAGCCTTAAACGTAATACAGTTATTGTAAATAATTTGTAATAAGATGGCTAGCCTAAATGACATAGAAATAAGTTGATCCCCTGACTTTCATGCTAGGGTAACCTGTGTTATGAAAGTCAGTGGTTCGGCTCTTTATAAGATATTCTTTAAAACAGCATAGCGAGTTTGATTTAATTGGTGTTTACATTATGGTAAGAAGTTTAAGAACAGGCAGTTAAAGAAAAATAATAGTTCGGTGATAAATATGTATGGCATAATATGTGAGTGTGTGTGTGCGTGTGTGTGTGTGTGTGTGTGTGTGTGTGTGTGTGTGTGTGTGTGTGTGTGTGTGTGTGTGTGTATGTTTGTGTGGGTTTGTATGTGTTTGTGTGTGTATGTCTGAAAGTGATTGCGTGTCTAGTGTGCGTGCTAGTGGGTACAGTTTGTAGGTTTAGGATATTAAAGCTTCAATATCAATTGTACGAGTTCATGGTGCTGTGCAGATAGGGCGCAAGAGAATTTATTGCTCCACTTCACCCCGTAGGTTTCGTAAGAGGTGACATAGGTAATCGCAAACATTATCAAACTGGAATAGAAGATGGGCAACAACATCCTGATAGCCGTAAAATAAAAAAAAAACTGCAGTAGCCAAATGGTGGGTTAGCACGATAGCTTTATTAAATGATAAAATCCCCCTATGAGGCAATCTCTGGGGCAGACTATTATACGTGGTAGAGCCATGCCAGCTAATAGTAGTATAGTTGTAGCACGAATGGGTCGGCTCGACCGGGGAAGAACCACGCTCTCACAGAACACCAACGTAAAATAGCAGCTTAACGCTGCTGTGTTTCGTATGGTGAGTGTAGAGAACCGGAGACCCTTTTTACTGGAAACGAGGCATTCCATTTTAGTCCTCACGAGTGACAATGCATCTGCATTTTGATTCGTAATCGAAGATAGGTTTAAATGTCTATGGGCCACAGTAACCACTTACCTTCAGGTGGACTGTGTGCTTGTTTTTTCACCCTTATCCTATAAAAAAAGACCTAAGTTCAGCAGTGGACTTTTCATGAATTAATGAATGCGTTACAATGTTCTCCACTAACTGCCTTATTGATCTAGTGGTCGTATACGCGATTGCTGATTATGAGGTCTCGGTTCGAATCCCGGGTCGAGCCAAAATCAGTTACCGGGGTTTTATATAAGAAATACCCAGTAGCAGCCCGGAGTCAGGAAGTTGGCAGTGTTTTACCCCCGTGCCGCGGAGAGCACCTTAAGCGTGTTACCGTCCCATCAGACTATGAGAGTGAGGGAATAGATAGTGCACCTGTGCTTGCCCATACACTTTCCTGTCTTGCGCAAATGGCTAGTCTTCGTTGACACTGGCCGTGAGCGAAATCAGTCATCATCATCATCATCATCAGTACAGCTTCCTCCCCTAAGGAATGCCACAGAACACGGTTGTAAGCTACCTGCATCCATCGACTTTCTGCATGTTTTACCAGGTCGTCATTCAATCTAATGGGGGGTACACTTCGCCTACCGATACGAGGCTGCAACTCGAGAACCTTTTGGATCGAGGTTCCATATCGGACGGTACGAATTTGGCGGATGGGGGCTAGGCGAGAAAAAGTGTAAGACTTTTCCGTCACGACCCACTTCTAACGTAATGTAGACGGCTTTGGTGGCTATAAGGAAGCGAGATGGAATAATATCCATCTCCCTCGCACTTTTTCCTATCTTGCCATGAAAGAAATATATTATTTTAAATGACTTTCCATTTTAATAGACGCCTGTTTAGGCCCAAACATTGGCATTTGAAACGCCATCCAATCGCGTTTGACTAAGCGAATCGCCCGATGGTGTGAGGTGACGGTCGGGGTGGACGGGGGGGGGGGGGGGAGGCAGCGGTCTGCAGCTTCTCGGCGTTCGGCTCTCGTGGGCGAGAAACAGTAGCTTGAGAGCAGCATAATTAACGTATTTTGTGGTGACCGCTGCAGCGGTTTCGCGCGACCAGTTTTGGTTTTGTGGTCTAGATTTTTAGTATTTGTGCGCATTTAATTCGCTATTGAATTTGGGGTTTCGTGGAGACCGCCTCGAGTAAGTTTGTCTAAGTTGTACGTTCGTGGTAGAAGGCTTGTATTGAATTTGACTGATTAAAGTCATTTCGTTTGAAAGTAATTGCGTCAATTGTATAGTGATTGCGTGTTGAAGTACATTTTGCAATATTTAACTTGCTTGTGTGACATGGAACCTTCCGCGCACGCCGAGTAGAGATACGGTCTGGAATTTGAAGCTCGCATTCCATTTCGAGGGCGTGGCCCGGTTAATTGTTTTTGGAAGTCATTGTTTAATTGTACCGTCGCGTTAAGAGCCTTTTGTGTGTTGACTCTGTAGTTAGTTTGCGTGTCAGCTAGGCTGATTTTGAATTCTTATTGCGGCGTAGTATTTAATATCGTACGAAGGAATTTAGTTTGTTGTTTGGGAACGCGGAACTTTGTGGACCTAGAGAAGGTCGTGTTCGATTCTAGAAATAATTTGTTGCTGAGTGAAAACGGAAGTGAACTTTGATCCACCGTTCATTAGTCGTGCCGTGTGTTACGTTTTGATTACTTTTAACGGGGATTTGGTTGACTTTGAAGTTAATTATATGTACAATAAAGTTGATTTGTTGAAGGGTCGCCCTAGGCGAAAGTTTATCGACCAAATTGGCGATATATTAAAAATGGGCCAAATCAAAAGTACCTTTAACAGACGAGCGTGTATGCGTAGGTATATGGATGTGGAGGAAGCGAGAGAGGTTTGTCAGGATCGTGCCAAATGGAAGTCCATAATCTCTGCCTACCCCTCTGGGTGACAGGCGTGAGTGTTTATGTATTTTATGTAATAAAGTTGATGGATTGAAATAGTGTACAATAAAGTTGATAGAATGAAATAGTGAAATGAAGAAAGAAGTTGTCAATTGGTGACGTCCGCTGGAGTTATACAACACGGTGGGGGCAGCATCGGACCAGGCCGCTGCCCGATCATCTCAGTTGGGTCAGGTCACATATATAAACACTACTACACACCACTTACATGCACTTACACCTACCTACCGCCTGACCGAGCCTTGGGGCAGTCTTAGTTTCGGAACCAGGTACGTACTATTTGTTTACCTAGCCTTATATCTATTGTGTAGAATGATAAGTCTCCATAGGCCGTTGGGCCCAGTCCCTTGTTGCCCGTCGATGGGATTACTCATGGGCCCTAGTCCCGTCAACCTTTGTTGGGGCAGCTGGGGGCGTGTACAACGCCAGTAATTCATTTATATGTATTATTATATGTATATATATTAATCAATAATATAATACGTTTATCAATAATAATATACTACGAAAGGAGCACTCGGTTGGACACTTGGTTTTTTCCCCCATCAGGGCGGTTCTTCGAATTTTTTTTTTTATAGGAGAGGGGGCAAACGAGCATGCGGCTCACCTGATGGGTAAGTGACTACCGCCGCTCATGAACAACAGCAACACCAGGGGAACCAGCGAAATTGCAGATGCGTTGCCGGCCTTTTAATAAGGAGTAGGCTCTTTTTTTAAGGTTCCTAAGTCGTATCGGTACGGAAAAATCGCTGATGATAATCGATTCCACTAGGAAGTCGTGCGAGGAAGAAAACATCTTCTAAATCGCACAGTGATAGACCGCCAATCATCCAGATAGTGTGGATGGTATCGGGAGTTCTGCCGCATGTGCGTTCATGAAATTTGGCGGCTGGGATTAATCCGAATAATTCCTCAGAGTTATATGGCAGCTATATGAAATCGGTCTGGAGGGCCATTATTACATTGTTCTCCTTGTCGTCGCTGTCAGAGGTGCGCCTGTTTTTGCAGAGCGCGGGCTGGCAGCGGCACGAGGCGCCGCAGCCCAGCGCGGAGCGCACGCAGCCGCACATCTTGGTGGAGCAGGAGCCGCGGCACGTGCAGTGCGGCGCGCCGTCGCTGGCCCGCTTCACCGCGCGGCTCGTGTCCGCCTCGCCGCCCGTGAAGTTCATCGTGAGCCGCGATCGTTGCGCCTGCGGATACCACAAGTTATAAGATAAGACTAGCTGTTCCCAGCGACTTCGCCCGCGTATAATTTATTACGATTGGATTTCATGGGTTTTAAGTTTTTTCTTTGTTAAGCGGAACCTTAATTCTTTTTCTTAAGTAAAAGTACCCTAAGTTTATCTTTATAACATCAGCTATCTGCCAGTGAAAGTCCCGTCAAAATCGGTCCAGTATTTTATGGTTGTACTGTTTGTATCTTGCTGGTTTTATCCAGATATGGTTAATTAATATCATCAAGACATATATATATACAAATAAATAAAATTGAAGTGTCTGTTTGTAATGTCGAAATAACAGCTTTTTACTAAATGCATAATATGAATGTATATACGGTACATATAACAAAAACAGTTGTCTGTCCCTAAACCCTAAATTACACGCGCGCGAAGTCGCGGGGAACAACTAGTTATATTATACATCATCATATAGGAAAAAAAGTAAAAATCACTTTCCCGTCGTTTTTCAATTGTTTTTCTGTCGACCAAAATGAGTGGATCTAATGAAGAAATTAGATATTACAAAAAAGGGGGAAAATGCGGCTCAAGACGCGAAGAACAAGACGTTAATGAACCTAATGCAGTGTCAGTAAGAGTAGCACAAAGTTGGTTCAAGCGTTTTGAGTCTGGGAATTTTGATGTCAAAGATGCAGCTCGCTCTGATCGCTCTCATACGGATAACGTCGATGCCATTTTTGAAAAAGTGGAGCAAGATCGATATATTAGTAGTCACGACATAGCAGAGGAATGGAGGATTCACCACAAAACAGTATTGACCCATTTAAAAAGTCTGGCTATACAAAAAAAGCTCAATATTTGAGGACCACATGAGCTCACTGAAATAAACCAAATGAATCGTGTGCTAATTTGCGAATCCGACCATTTTTGAAAAGATTGATCATGGTCCGAGAGCTCATGACGCATTTTTCATGAAATGTTTAATGCATAATGAAACTTTGTTTAAAAGTATCAGTTGGCTGAATAAGCAGGTATATGACTGTCTGCCTGATCTACCTGGGTACACCTGGTACTGCGCATACAGGTTAGTCGCAAAAAAATTGCCCAAAAAAAAGTGTTTGATTCAAATAATAATAATGCCTATCTTTCAAAAATTCCAAAAAAAATTATTTTATCTGCCTTTTTTACAGCGTGTTTACTATACATAATAAAAATTCTCACAAAAGGGCAGACAGTTTCTCCGGGGGTTAATAATTTAAAAATCTATACAAATAAATAAAAATTAAGTGTCTGTTTGTAATTTCAAAACAACAACTTTTTACTAAACGCATATGAATTTATATACGGTATTTATAACAAAAAAACAATTTTATAAATTTTTGTCTGTCTGTCTGTCTCTCTGTTTGTTCCGGCTAATCTTCGAAATGGCTGGACCGATTTTGACGGGACTTTCAATGGCAGATAGCTGATGTTATAAGGAGTAACTAAGGCTACTTTTATTTTAGAAACATTATTTAGTGTTCCGCGCAAAAAAAAAACCCTAAATCAAATGTGGGCGAAGTCGACGGGAACAGCTAGTATTTAAATAAATCTTGCGTGTACAGGAGACAAATGTGCTACGGGTTGTAATGAGTGCGAAAGAGACGTGTGCAAATGTGCAACGGTTGCCGATATGTGAAAAAAGTGTTTGATTCAAATAATAATAATGACTATCCGTCAGCTGATAGAGAATTAAGTTATAAAGATTTAAGAAATTAAGTATTAAGTTGATAAAGAATTAAGGAAAAAAATGGCAGACACTTCTGAAAAAAAATCCTACTTCCATCGACCCTACAATTACTTCCTTACTACCATTAACTGCCAACAACTAATGAGAAAAGCAAGCAAGAAATTAAGAAAAAACGGCCGGAATTGATCACCAGAAAAGGACTGGTCTTTCATCATGATAACGCCAGACCACACACACATCTTTGGCCACTTGGTTGTGAAGTGTTAATGCATCCACCATATAGTCACCTCAGATTTTCACCTGTTTCGGTCTCTACAGAATTCTTTGGGTACTGTCAAAACTACTTGTCGCATTTTTTTAATAAAAACCCCAACATTTTTACAGCAACGGGATTATGTACAAGATGGCAACAAGTTATCAAACAAAATGGCACATATACATTATAATTAAATGTAATTAAAATTTGAAATATAATGTCTTGAATTTGTATATAAAATACGAAGAAACTTTTCCCCCAACGTTATAATAATGTCCTCCAGACAGAATTTCGGTCATCGCGGCCAGTTTCAACAGAGACTAGCCATCTGCGCAGGGCAGGATTATAGTGTCCGAGTTTATGCGCAAGAACAGGTGCACTCTCTATTATCTCACTCTCATAGTTCAGTAGGACGGTAATACTACCAGACAGAGGTCAGAAACATGACCAACGGCTTTACAAACTTTCTGGGACACGGGGATAAACACCGCCAACTTCTTGACTCCGAGCTATTTACTGACGATTACTGGACAGATAATCTCAAATATTTAACTGATTTTGGCCCAACCTGGGATTCGAACTCGATTTACGACCACTAGACCAACAAAGCAGTCGGAAGTACCATATATTTGATTTGCGACTCGACGAAACGTGGAAATGTGAGAAAAACAATGAAGAGCCAATCGAATTGTTTATAATCGGTGCTCAAAAGAATACAGCAAATAATATGAGTTATTTATAAGTTTTTATTATATTACAACTGCCTGAGAAACTACTTTAAGCCGTTGGTTCAAGCTGCTTTAAGCCGTTAAGATAGTGTCGGGTTGCCGTCCCATCGGACCATGAGAGTGAAGAATAGGGTGTACCTGTTGCTTGCGCACACACTCGTGCACTACAATCCTGGCCTGTGCAGATGACTAGTCTCCGTAGAGACTGGCCGCAGTGACCGAAATTCGGTCTGGAGGTTATTTATATATACTCTATATAACATGCAGTGGCTTTGACGAGCATGCTAGTGAGCAGCACTAACACTCTCTGGAATGGCGCACGCATAGAGGCACTAGGGAGGCAAGACTATATATTTTGTTTAGTCAAAGTACTAGGTTAAGCTATTTTATAAGCAAACTTAGGATAAGATATAAAATAAATAAATAAAAAGTAAACGAATATTACTATAATTATTGTTAGCTAAAAATACACAATTATATCCAGTATAATATTTATTTCAAATACCTGTATTCGCTTAAATAATGGTGTCATTCTCCAGTCAGGATCATTCTCAGGATCTTCAAACTCATCATCCTCTTCATCACTGGGTTCGACATATTCCACTTTCTTTGGTCCCGTGTCATTCTCCTTCTTGCTTCTCTTTTTACCTTTCTTAGTAGCACTTCGTAATTGGTCAAGTTCGTCGGCTAATTTTTTCTGTTAATAAAGAATATGTTATCATATAATTTCGCACAATTTTTCATATTTCAGTGCAATTTAATTTAAATTCACTTATTTATTTTAAATGAGACGTATCCAAAAGTCAGTGCAGTTTGCTATTTATAAAATTACATCTTATTTTTCTAAAATTTCTTAATTAAAACTTAATAAAACTTCAATTTTAGTGTCTGAGTAGGTTCCACAATAAATATAATAAATAGGTCTTTACCTATGAAATTGCCGTTCTGCTGTACTGGCCACTTCAAATCAAAATAATTTTTGTTTGGCTAAAAGAATTCTAATTTCAAATTAATTTTATTTTAAAAATTTTCAATATTAGTGCTTTGTTAATTAATTACCGTTATGTTTTCATCGCATTTGAATCTTTTTCGTCATCATAGATACGTTAAAAATACCGTAATATATCAAATGGAATTTGAGTTCCGTCGTGGCAGCATCACGGCACAAGTGGCACGCATCATCAACGACGTTTACGGAGCGAATGCTACAAAAGAACGCACCACCTGTTATTGGTTTGCCCGATTCCATTCTGGAAATTTCGACTTGAAAAATGAACCCCGTGGTCGTGTCCGAAAACTTTTGTCGACAATGACGAATCAAAGGCGATTGTGAAAACTGATGATACTCCTACGGCTGAATTAGCAGCAGTTTCGACAGTAACGTCAAATTGGCAAGGTAAAAAAGCTTGACAAATGAGTGCCCCACGAACTCAAAGATAGCCAGCGCGAAGTACGCGTCGAAACGTGCCTTGCACTGCTCAACAGGCACACAAACGAAGCAATTTTGAACCGCATTGTTACCTACGACGAAAAACGGATTCTGTTTGATAATGGCAAGCTCTCATCTAGTTGGTTGGATTCTGGTTCAGCACATAAACAATGCCCTAAACGAAAACATGCCGCTAGTGATGGTCACAGTTTTGCAGTCTAGCACCCATGTGATCCATCACAGCTTCTTCCCAAAAGGGACGAGCATCACTGCAGATGTGTACTGTGAAGAACTGAACACGATGGAGAAGCTCTCGTGTCTCCAAACAGCTTTGGTCAATCGCTCGTCCCCGCTGCTCCTGCACGATAACGCTCGACCTCATATTGCACAATAGACTGTCTCCAAATTACAAGAGCTGGGGTTGGAAACTCTCCGCCATCCGCTGTACTCACCAGACCTTTTAACCAGGCCTACAGAATTCTACTTTTTTCAGAATTTGGAAAACTTTTTCGCGGGAAAATAATTCAATAAACTGCCACTGCGTTAGCAAAGATGCATCGATTGCATTGGTGATTATTTTGATTATAAGAAATAAAAATACAGAAAAAAGTATATATGTTAACTTATTTCATAGGTAAAGACCTAAATGCTTATAATCAAATAAATTTATTGCGATTAGTGAAATTTTAAAAGTCCCAGACTGACTGAACTGAGACTGAATCAATATTTAATTTAATGTATCTTTAAATAATTGTCTAACTACAGTCATTAAAAACCACACCACTTAATATAGACTTTAATACCAAGCAAAAAGGCATATTATTTTACATTAACTTAATGCTACATACATTTTCTTGTTCCATTTGCTCTAAGCGGTCCTGTTGGTATTGTATTACATTTTGTAAGTGTTTGCATGCTTCACTCTTATCTCCTCTGCCCACTACTCCCCGTTGCAGTGCTACTAATGCACTCAACTGGAAAAAATGTATTATAATATAAATTTATTAATACCGACCTAAAATATCTAAACACCTAGGAACATCCCCACAGAAGGATCATTATAAATATGGTTTCATTTAGTTTATTTAACAAAATTAAATTTTATGGATTTTTTAAAAGATTATAAGTGTATAAAATGGTTTAGGGAATTCATAGTAAACAAATAAGAAACTAATAATTTTTTGAGAAGATTATAAGTGTATTATAAATCAAAGACCAATTAATTTACACTGCAATTAACCATTCTTTATTTATTTGAGTAAACAGTAAATAGTAGATTAAAAAGGAAAAGGTACATATTTCTAAAGTAGAAAAGTGCCTTTTATTAAACTATGACAATAACTTTACAACATTAACAATAATTAATTTTGTGTGGAATTTTTGTAAGTACTAATTTAAAAAGCAAATTTTGCGGCTCACCTTTTGTTCATTTTGCATTTTGACCATAGCCAATTGCCTCTCAAACTCAGTCTTGCTATTCTCATACTCCACTGCCAGCCTATCATGAGCCTCCTTGATTTCCTCGTAACGCGCTTGAAAGCCTTTCTCACTTTGGTTTTGAAGGTCCCTCTTTGTGTCCACCAATAGCTCAAACAGACATTTGAGGGCAACTTTAGCTTCAAGCATCGATTGAATGTTGTCCCATTGTGTCCGCGATTTATTTTCTGTGGAAGATGAATATCAAATTCACTGTGCTTGCGAAAATAGGTAATGAAGAAATTTATTTTTCTGTAATTTCATGGCAGCATTAGCAATCGGAATAATGGCCTCTAAATTGTATAGACCAATGAATACCCAATACATATTTTTGTAATGATGATATGGAATTGTTGCTGATTGTTTTAAGTTAATTAAATTAATGATTAAATATTTTACCGAAATGAACCCTAATTAGTTGGTATGTTGTTCATTTTATATAAAAAACAGAAAATATTTGTTAGTGTATTTATTAGCACATACACCTGGGGTACAGGTTTATCCTAGTTCAGGTGCCTGTTATTGTAGCCTATTTTAAATTAAGACACTGTTTGAATTATTTGTACAGTTATTAGAAATAAAAATTATTATTGTTATTATATTTTTGTAACAGGTTGTCTTATAAGCTATTGCATAGTATTGTTTTCATTTTAAAACATTATTGCAAAGATGTTGCTTAACTTTTAATTCAATTATTATTAGCTTTAAACAACATTTTGATAACTATTATGATAGGAATTTCGCATACTAGTATACAGGTCGTATGGAATGAAACATTATAACAAATTATTGAAATAACTGTAGTGCAATAATTCTTTATTATGGTGGTAATTAAGTTGATCTAAAACACCTAAAATAGATTATTGAAATAAAGACTTGATGTTGGAATGTTCTATAAAGTAAGGGAAGTATGAAAATATTTATTGATAAATAAAATCAAAAGTACTATACCTTGATCGGCAGTTAATATCTTCTGCTGTAAATCTGATATTTGCGCCTTACGCAAAGCAAGATCGTCTTCTAACTCTGCAATCTTCTTTCTGTTAGCCTCGTCGTCGGTACTGTTTCGTAGATTTTCTATCTGCTCTGTTATCCACGCTCTGGTGAAATATTTAATATGTTGAATATTTGATTTTTATTATGCCTCCTATTCAATCAATTGTAATTTTAGGGCGTGATTTACTATATGAGAGTATATTTTTAGAGAATGATAATATTATCTTTAAAAAAAAAAGGTTTCCTCCATGCTAGTATTTTTTTCTGTATCGTGGGGACAGTTTACTTATATAAATATCCATAGGACAAACATCCAAACCCGGACCAATTATTTGTAGGCCATACAAATACTTGTTCCGTGCGGGATTCCAACCCGCGGCACTTAGCGCTGCAACTCATTGCTAAGCCAGTGCGCCACGGAGCCGTCAAGTTTTTAGTAACGATTATTTTAGGGCCTAAGAATACGTGTAAACTTTAACACCTCTATTCTTCTTGAATCTGATACAGACAATTTAAAGAAGATTGAGGTAAGAATGATAAATAAATGAACTCTAAGCACATTAAGGCCTAAAAAATCATTCTCTAACCTATGAAAGGTTAGGTAATCTATATAAGTTTTTTTTTTTATAAAAATTTATGCTTTGTATTGTAACAGAAACAGAAATAATAACGTTCACTGGGATGTTGCATCCAAGTATAAAAAATATAATCACCTATACTCCATGAGTTCCTCCAGCGACTTTTCAGCTTCAACAATACTTAGATGGACTTCCAGCTCTTGCTCGATATACTGTTGTACTGCTCCTGCTTTGACACTGCCTTTAGCATTACGCTTCATCTGGGATTGCTTCTGTCTCTCCAGTGCCTCCTGATGTTACAAACCAAAGAGAAGTATTATTAATTGTCTGCTTAATTGATAACTCTAGTATTATGAACACACTTTTCATTATAGAAGCCTAAAGTAAATATATAACAAGTGGTAAAATTAATAATTATTTACAACCGATTTCAATATAAATAAAATGAGTACATCAATGTATTCGAAGTCAATTAAATCTGCATTATTAAGAATAACTCCAAAACTACTGGTGAGATCTTGATCAAATTTATATGGGACCATATGAGAAGCACGAGCTTTCAAATAAAAAAGAATCATCGAAATCGGTTCACCTAAAAAAAAGTTCTGAGGTAACACACAAAAAAATGCAGTTGCATTGAGAAACTTCTCTTTTTTTGAAGACGGTTGAAAATATCTTTGCCTCATCCTCTCATCATAACAGCTGTTTTAATTCCACTACTAAATTATAAATGTAATGAAAATTTATATAGTTTAAGATTGCATTTTTTGGATGAATTTTCCATCATCTGTCAGAGAGCCACATTCTTTTTTATAAAATTAAAGTGGCAAAAGAATGCACAGTCACAGTTTAAAGATATCGCAGTTGGGAAACGAATGTACATATGAACAGAGCAATGGTGGGGACACTGCGGGGCAGGGGGCGGACCGATCTCGTGCTAGTGCACTGAGTCTGATAGACAATACATGCGGTTGGCGCGAGCGTGTTTTATAGTACTTATTTAATTAATTGTAAGTGCAGTTTTCGATAAATATAATATCTATGGTGAATTACTGTTATAGTTATATGAGTTATTAGAGTATGTGGTTGCTGTGGCCCTTACATAGTGGCATCCTCGTTTGCGAATCAAAATGCAGATGTGTTGTCAGTCATGAGGACTAAGATAGAATGCCTCTTTTCCAGTAAAAAAGGGTCTCCGGTTCTCTACACTCACCATATGAAACACAACAACATTAAGCTATTTTACACTGGTATTCTGTGAGAGCGAGGTCCTTCCCCGGTCGAGCCGTCCCATTCGTGCTACAACTATACTATTAATATAGCTGCAGCATGGCTCTACCACGTCAGAAAATGTGTGTCAATAAGTGAATAAATAAAAGAGAAGAAATTTTTTTCATTAATCGAAAAAAAAAGAAGCACCTGATGCAGGTGAAGTTGCCTCTTGAAAAAAAATTATACCTTCTCTTCACCCCCTAACATTTTAATTATAAATTTACTACTTATATCAAGTCATGTTTTGCTTAATACCAAGCAAGAAAATATGTAAAAAAAAGAGTTCTTTAGAGATTGATTCATGCTCCGAATATTATTCTTAGTTGATGTTTTCATAAAAAAATACCTTTAATCGTTTATTGACGGCAACAGCCTCCTCCATTTTGCGTTTTAATACGTTTTGCTGTTTAGCGTGAAGCGACTCCATCTTAGCCATGGCGGTAGCGCGTTTTCTGTCTTCGTTTCGCAAGCGTAACATGGCACGTTCGTTATCCGCCTTCCATTTACGGAATTTCTCACTCTCTTCACGCATTTGTTTGATTATTTTAACCTGCAATAATAATAATAATTAACAATATTAATAATGATTGTTTGTTTTTATATCACGAGATATAAAAACATGAGACACAACAAAAAGTGCGCGCACACTTATTTGTCATAGATTATTTTCAAAGAGTGGTTTGCACTCCTCACTTCACTATATTAAAAAAAAGTTCTAAACTTTGACTTTTTATAGTCAGTCCATTTTAAAAATTTAGGAAATTTATGATTGATTGTTTACTTATTACCTACTTAATACTAGGTAGTTTTGAGTAGTTAACATCTAGAGCATCTTCTCGTCTTTCTTTTTCATCTGCCATTAAAAATCCACTGTTGGAGATGAACCACTCCCATTGTAGGGAGATTTACTATAATTGTTCCGCTTAGTAGGCAGTTATAATAGCAGTGTCAGACTTCTCGCACCTTTGACGTGGCTACCTCTCGCCATAGCGTTTTTAGAATAACACATATGTAATTCTCTTACACCACCAACACATGTAATAACCATACCCCAAACAAACCCTATATAGGTCGGCACCATAGGTATAGTATAGTATAGATTGGCAATGGAGTGGTTAGGGCAAGACCAAAATCAAAATACATCAGTGTGCGTATAATGTGCATGTGTGGATGACAAATAGTGCTGCATTGTGCATTGCCTGCCTAAACTATAATTATCGATACTGATTACAGTATATTCATGTCTTGTGATTTAACGCTGATGATGTAAGTGAATATTTTTACCCAACTACGGCGAAGCCAAATGAAAGGTAAGAATTATAAAAGGCTATGTATGTATGTATGTTTATCTGTTCCCTCAGATCTTTTAAACTACAAGATATCTTTAAAACCATTTTGCTCTTTCGCGGTTTTTAAGCTGCATGAAGTAACTTATAAACTAATTAACTTATAAAAAGGGCGGCTTATTGTGGACATAATGTAACACTGAAATACTTACTATTGACAGACAGACTATATATAAGAAAAACTAAAACAAAAACTTAAATTATCATACAGTCCTACACCCTGTGGTATTGTGCTAAGAACGCTGGCTACATTTCCTCGCTGAATGGCTATACTATCTATAATTAAATAAATATTGAGATATCGTGTCTGCGACCCAATAAAAAGTGTAATTCAGAATATTCTCGACATTCCACAAATAAATCTTTAAAAAAATTTACTTTATTAGGATTTATTAGTTAAAATATTTTTATAAAACTGAAGTATCCAACCAACTTACAGTCCACCTGATAAGTGGCCACTGCAGCCCATGAAAACTTGCAGCTAACTTAAACTAAGAAGGTCTTGTCACCTCTACGGATTGAGATGGAATGCCTTACAGCCTGTATTTTACCGGTACTATGTAATACCTCCCAGCCAGAAATGGGGGTCCTACCACTTAATTGATAGATTAACTTCAAAAATTGTTTATATAAATTCTCTTAAATTAATTAAATTAAATTAAAATCGTTTATTTCGACCACAAGGATCATAGATGTTAGTAATAATACAAATCTTAAAGGTAATGTTAGTAAACTTAAAACTATTTACGTAATTCTAAAGAAACACTGTTCTTAAAAATGACATACGTGTTATGATGTTTATATAAATTAAAAGTTAGTAACTAAAACCAAACTGCGATAGGAAATATAATCTAAGAAGGTATTAAACAAGACTACGATGTCAATTTTCAGAATATTGCGAAACATATTTAGATACCTATTGCTATCCAGGTACCTATAATAAATAAATTATACGAGGGTGGATTGAAAAGTACTCGGCCTAACCAAGAAAATAAACAAATACTAAATCAGTTATATTTTTATTTTTCTACATAATCACCATCAAGTTCAATACACTTTTGCCACCTCCCCTTCCAAGCATTTAGACCGTTGAAAAAAAGTGATTCTTCCTTAGAGTCAAAATATGCGTCTACAGCTGCTTTGACCTCGTCGTTTGTCGAAAATCTTTGACCTCCCAAGTGCTTTTTTAGGTTAGGGAACAGAAAGAAGTCTGATGGTGCCAGATCCAGATGCCAGTAAAAAATATAACCTTACTAAACGACGCGATATATCTTTGAAATTGTTCAACTCTAGCTCCAGGCAAATTTTATTTTATAAATCCAGTACGAAAGACCCTAATGGAGTAACATACCTTAGTTGCTTTCATAGCTTGTAATTCAGCATTAAGCGCGGCAATCTTCGCTTCATTTTTCTCTTTAGTCTTAATAATGTTAGCCTGTTGCTGACATTTCTTTTTCAGCTCTGATATCTCAGATTCCAAAGCAGATACTTTAGTACGACGCTCTTCGTGGGATGGGTCTTTGCTCTGCAAAGGAAATTATCATTATAAAACATAAGTGGTAAATTTAAAATTTTGTACGAACAACTTCAATATGAATATAATTTGTTGATTTTTTAAAAACCCCTCGACCGATTTCGATAAAATTTAAATTTCTCTTCTTAGTGTTTGATTACTGACAGTGCTCAATGTAGTGCACTCTATTCTACTCAAACCACTCATAAAAATGAGAATTGCAGCTTAAAACACTCTGCCTCTATCTATTAAATATGTATGTGTTACAATATTAGAATCTTAACTGTTTGTATGTTACGTGACATCTTAACCAATTGTGAATCGATTTTTTCACAATCACTTTCCCCACTAGGAATCGTTTGTCGGGGTATGTACCACCCCCTCTTACCTCTAAGGGAGTGGTTATTTTTATTTTTCTTTCGAACTATACGTCCAAATAACATGCTATGACGAGCAAAGTTTATCGTTATATAATTATCTTGATGATGAAGTAACTTTCGTTCGTGAGGATTAAAATGCCGTGCCTAATAATAACGCTCATAAATCACTGAGTTTTCAATGACTTTTTTGTTACAAAATACCTTAGTTTGGCTAATGTATAAGAAATAGACCTATGGTATCGCGGGCTTTTTTTAGATGGAAGAAAGATCTATATTTTTCTAGAACATTGTATTTACGTATCACTAACACCAGCGCACGCGGATGGAGCAGTTCGGAAGCGCTTTTCCGTCCGTTTGCATAACAAAAATCAATATTTAATGCTAGCTGAGAGGTATTGCCTAATGCCAGATAGCCTTTACTATTCCTCATGAATCTGGCTATAATATACTAAAATAACTTTTTAAATCGAACTGGTAGTTACAGAGATTAGCTTGTGTAAACCAACAAAAAACCTCTTCCGATATTAGTATAGATTCTATCTCATTCTCTCGTAGGCCTATCCTAAGTATTTGTATATTTGTCTCTTTTTAGTGTCACTTTTTCGTTTTATTGAGTTTCAAATCACAACGATGCTAAAGAAGTGTTCACTTCAAAAAAAACTTGGAAACTATAAAACAACTATAGTAATGGTGATTTTGTATTCAATCAAGAAGTTTAAGCAGCATTTACACGCAATACAGTCTGATATGAAATATAAGCAATGAGTTGATGCACTGGGGAGTTCCACGGGTTCGGATCTCACACGGAACAAGTATTTGTATGGCCTACAAATGATTGTTCAGGGGTCCTTGTGCAATTTATGTTTGTAAACTGCCTCCACAATACAGGAAAAAATCTTAGTGTGGGGATAATGTTTTATAATAAAAATCCACATTTCCTATCAGAATTGTAGGTAATAGTCAGAAAATGTATTACAATCTAGTGTAACACGCTCAAAAAGCAATTTAAAAAATTAAAATGTCATAAAAATAAATTCTAAATAAATAAATAATTTGAAGACGCTTTATAAAATATTTCAAAGATTGATAAATTTCTTAAATATATAAATATTTTTTTTTACCCTCTCCATTTTGATTATCGCTGCACCGCCTCTTATAAGTCTATCTCTGTTTAGCTTAATAGTTGACTGGTGGAGAATGTCCTATGGCATTAAGTCCGCCATATGTACTTGGTGCATTTGTGCAATAAATAATAAAATTATCAGATTTAATAAAGGGACTTTTAGATAACATACCTTAGATTGTTTTAACTGTTGCATAAGCTCATCTCTTTCCTTCTCTAAGTGTGCTATCTTTTCCTCATTCTCCTTCAGATTGTTGTGACTCTCCAACATTTCTTTGTTATTGGCCAATATTGCTTGAACAACCGATGCTTTGATTGCCATTGCACGGTTCAATTCCTGCAGTTCTTGATTTAATGCCACCTAGTATTTAAATGTGATAAAATAACACTTTTTAATCACGGTAAATAATAAAAATTATAATCATATTATAAACTAGCTGGCCAGGTAGATGTTGTTCTGCCGTTTTCGATGACCCTTCATATAAAAAATCCGTAAATTCGTAATAAAAAAATATTGAATGTCACTTATCAGGATAAAAACTATCCTATCTTTCAAGTTGAACCAAACTGTACAGAGTGTACAAAATTTCATTGAAATCAGTTCAATAGTTTAGGGAGTTCATCGCGGACAAACAACGTGACACGTAATTTTTATATATAAAGATTAACTAAACCATATAAATATTATTAAATACTTAAACTGGCGAAAACATTACATTACTAACAGTCAAAAAGTATTCATAAAAATACAAGAAAGCTAATAGCTTCATTACCTGACCCATAGTTCTCTTCTCTTCCTCCAACACAGCTTGGTCCTCATTCAAGAGCATTTCATCATCAACCTTATCATTCTCATTGTCCTCCTTAACAAATGACAGCTTAATCTCGTGGTCAATTAATTCCTCATTAGTCTTCATATTAACTGACTGCAAATCTTCTAATCTAGACTTTATTTCTTTAAGATAGACAACAACACTATTCCTACGTTCCTCAATTGGAGCTTGGTCAGTACTACTTAAGTTCTCTATTGTTTGATTACATTGCTCTGTCAGCTCATTAAGCTTCCGTTCGATTTTGTCCTTAGCGGCTTCTGCTAAAAGTGCCTTTTCACACAAATTCGTATTTTCAATCAACATATTGGTAAGATGTTCAGTTATTTGCTTATGTTTTTTCAACAATTCAGCATACTTTGCTTTTTCTTTATCCAACTCTTCTTGTAGTTGCTCACTACTTTGTTCACTAATTGTGGGTAATTTTCCTAATAACTGCAATCTCAATTCATTGACCAAATTATTCAATCTGTAAGTATATAAAATATTGTAATAGTTAATAATAATAAAACGACAAATAGAGATACAGAATTAAATATATACAAAAATCGTCCTAAGAATGGGTGAATCGATTGTCCTGTATAGACTTTGGTAATAATTATAAATACATACTTTTATTTCACAATAGTTGCTCGTACGTTTTTGAGTCGCCCCAGAGAGAAATTCGCATACTCGTATTGGGGATGCCTCGCTCTTCATCCCATTTTACAATTTTATAAGATTTAAACGCACATAATTAATAAAGAAAAGAACATACATTACTTGTGTGTGTGTGTGTGTGTGTGTGTGTGTGTGTGTGTGTGTGTGTGTGTGTGTGTGTGTGTGTGTTTGTTTGCCTTTTACGGCCTGACGAAGAAGAAGAATAGTTTATTTATCATGACATTAAATATGAAACTTCAAGTCCAAAGTTCTTAATAACATATCATGTGTAGTTACTTGTAAGAAAATAAAACATTATAATAATTAAATCTTTATGATGCAATACAAAAACATGCAATCTGTCAAATACTATTATTTCATAGAACATATTAAAAAATATATATAACCTGACAATTTCAGCAGCTTTCGCGTCTTGGTTTATAATTGGCTTGTTGCGAATACGACGCGCACGATCCGCATACCTCAGTGTTGACACTGTCTCATCAAGGTTATAGTCAGCTGGACTTACACAAGCTACCATCAATGTCAGTGAGTTGCCACCAAGACTGTCTATAAAGTAAAATATAAAAAGAATTTAAAAAAATCAGTTAATAGCTAGCTGTTACAAGCAACATCGTCAGCGTAGAACGCTCACAGATTCAATAATATTGGTCTATGGGCAAATAGTTCAATTATCTAAGTCACTTAAAAAAACAAGAGCCTTTTGCTATTATTACGAAAACTGTGCTATATGGGAAAATAAAATTTGAAAATCTATTTTATTAATTTCACGTAATTCACGCAAAGAAGTATTATAACCTTATCCTATAACACTCATAGTTTTGTTGTAAAGTGGGGTTTAAGCAGGCCTGTCTCGCTCCACGCTTTAGCGCTTTTTTATTTTTAACAGTGGTAGAGCCACGCGGCAGCTTTTGCTGTCGCACGGATGGGCCGGCTCGAACCGGGGTGGTACCACGACCTCACAGAATACCAGCGTGAAGTAGAGGTTTACCTCTGCGTTACGCTTGGTGAGAGCAGGTGGCCGGAGGCCCTTTTTACTGGAAATGAGGCATTCCATCTTAGTCCCCGCGGGTGACAACGCATCTGTATTTTGATTTGCAAACGAGGATAGATGTAGATGTCTATGGGCCGCAGCAACCACTTACCATCAGGTGGACTGTGTGCTCGTTTGTCACCCTTATCCTATAAAAAAAAACATAGAGATACATACAGATACAGATGGTAAAATTAACAACTCTTATATTTGAGATGGACTGAATGCACACATCAACACTACTACCGAAGAATGACGTGTAATAATCACCTTGCAACAACCTGGTAAGTTTACTGTCTCTGTAACTAATGTAGCTCCTGCTAGTCCCATCACCCAGTGCAGATATGACGTTTCCGAGTGCCAGTAAACCTTGGTTTATTTTTACACCTTCTTTAAGTCTTTCACCACTTGCTTTCGTCTTTTTTATTCGCTCTGAACCCGCCAAATCCACTAAATGAAATTTTGATGTAGTTGCAATGTTTCTGTAAAAAATATTTGTTGGATATTATGTATTCGCACAACAATCACAGCGTGGTTGGTCAAGGTCAAGATTCAAAGTACTTTCTTAAAATCAAATATAGCTGCTCTCACTGACTAGGCGAGGCAGATTCGAGTCAAGGTCGTAGTGGAGTAAAGCTGTATCTCTCAATTTGGAATGGGTGACACCCTTATGCATTAATAGTTTTCTTCTCAACATTCTGATTTCAAATTAATCTCATTAGTAGCAATTTCACATTACTAATTGCAACTATCTCTTTCACTCTTTTCAACTTCCTTCTTCTGTGTGGATCAGATAACTGAATGCATCAATTACAAACCCTTGTGTTGCTCAAGCTTGACATTGTCACAGAATAATCCGTTAAAAGAATAGAGCCCATATTTCCTTAAAATAAGAGAAATAAAAAGTACAGGAAATAATTCCTGTGCATTAAAAGTAATATTGATGTAAATAACATGAATTTGAAATCAACAAACTACTTACTTATCAGTACGGCTCTCCTTAGTTATAACAATGGTGAAAACAGCATGACTTCTACTTGAAGCTTGATTCATAGCAGTGGATCCTGTTACTCGACCAATAGAACCTCTCTCCAAAACCATCATTGTTTCCATAGTTGATGTTACAGGCAGCTCTGTGATACCTTTAATAACAAAAATCTAAATAAGAATTCTTCTTCTTGATATGACCTTCATAAGACTGGGGTGACATTATGAGCAAACAAACTTATGTCACAAGGACTAAATTTCATAAGAAAAACTTTATATATTTTTAAATATTTTTACTGGTTAGATTATAATATAAGCCTGTTATTTATCTAAATAATGGGTACTGTGCAATAGTGGAGTGAGAAAATCCTTTGTATGATTAATGAGTTCATGATAGTATGATCATTACTCCACAAGTCCATTGCTGAACATAGGTCTCCTCCAACGAATGCCACAAAGCATGGTCCTCAACCACCTGCATCCATCGACTTCCTGCATGTCTTACCAGTACATATTACAGAATATAAAATAAGTTAATAAACGCGATAAAATCCTTAAAACAAATTTTATTTAAACAGTACATACTCATCAGCAACTTCGAGCTTAATGCTCTCAACAACTACCGGCGTAGGTGTGACATGGACGTTACACATAATCTTTGTTTTGTCCATGTTTATTTTAAGACTACACCCACTATTGAAGTCATTGAGTATAGTGCTTAGATCCTCCAGCGATTTTTCCATAAGGACTAAATCGTCGGCACATTTAGGTGAGTGATGTACTCGCCGTTGATGTTAATACCGTATCCTTTGAGTGATGTACTCGCCGTTGATGTTAATACCGTATCCTTTGAGTGATGTACTCGCTGTTGATGTTAATACCGTATCCTTTCCAGTCCAGTAGCTTCAAAACATCTTTCAATGCAGCGGGGAAGTTTCGGGGATATTATGTCACTCTGTATTACACCTCTCTGCAGTTGGATAGGTTTTGTACTCTGGTTCTGTACTCGGATAGCCATCGTAGCCCTACTGCACAAACACTTCAGCACTTCGAAATACCGCCAGTCAACTTGGCACCGCTGAAGGAACTGCAGCACCACCTAAATTTCGACAAAATGAAAAGAATCAAAGGCTTTCTCATAGTCCACATACGCAAGACAGTGGCAAAGTGTACTCCTCGGTCTTCCGTACAATTTGCTAAACGGTATGTATGTGGTCTATGGTGCTAAAGCCTTTTCGGAAACCGGCTTGTTCGGAAGGCTGGAAGTCGTCGAGTCGAGAAGTAATACCTAAGTATACTTTATTACAAAACTTAGTTGAAATTTACTTCACTACCCAAGTACCTACTTACATACCTATACTCGTCTTTGTAATATTTTAAGTTATAATAGCACAAAATACTGAAATTATTTTTTTTTTTAATTTTTCAACTAAGTACATAACGATCATATTTCTGTTAGGAATCGTATTCTGGGTTTATTTGTTGTTTACGCTATCGACCTATACGAACCAAGCATCGCCATTCCCGACGAATGGCCTTGCAAGTTGCATGGGGCATCACAGAACTCACATAGTAGATAATATGGTCGATTATAGTCAGCATAGGTACTTTACCTAAGTAACTTACCATTTCACAGTGTATTTTTTTTTCTCTTTATTAACAGCCCTTAGCAACCACGGAAAGTCCGTTGTAACGTAGTAAGTAAAGTAATACGGACACTCGCGCGCAGCAAGAAGCATAAAGTTGTATTTATTATTTATCTGATTAGTAATAACTATGTAGGCTAATTAAACGTGAGCAAGCAGTCAAAATCAAAAGAGTGCAACTTCTGTTCATAGTACTATTATTTATTCTGTGCCTTCAACGAATACCGTTAGGTAACTCTAAGTATAAGGTACGCAACCCTCGTCGATACACTCTTTACAAAGTTGTTAACGAGACTTGTGGATAGGGATTGCAATCCGGATTCTTCGAAATTTGAAAAAAATAACTGAAAAATCCAAATTTTTTAGTTTTTTAAATCCTGTTTTTGAGAATCAAATTCGGTTTTTTCGGATTTTAGTCAAAATTGAGTTAAATGGATAATATTTTACATTTACCCACAAATTCTCATTCTAAATAATAGGTAGATAGGTATTACCTACTCTAATACGCAAATTCGAACAATATTTGAATTGGTAGGAATAGGTATTTGGCTATAGGTACTTTGTTTGAGCGAATTTGGCGCGAAATCTGTGATTGACTCTGTTTATGCCCATATAAGGCAATAAACAGAGCAACGCGGTGAGACACGCGCGCCCCACCGGCGCGGCGCTCCGCGAGCCCGCGACCCGCCAGCGCGGCGACCCGCCAGCGCGGCGACCCGCCAGCACGGCGCCCCGCGCCCCGCTGCCCAGCTCGGTCAGTCGGCCAGCAAGTTTCATAGGAAGTGGTTGTGTTGAATTGTTTGTCGTCTATCGTGTGAATTCGTGTGCGTGCATGTGTAAAGCGACGCCCGCTACACAAACAAGTATATAAATTATAACTACTATTTTTATGTGTTTAAATTGCTTGTATGGTGTGAATGACGCGATTTGGTAGCTTTAAATTTATAAATGAGGTAATGAAATGGTTAGTTTCCCGGTGTAAATAGATATAAACTATACTGATAAGTAAAATGTTTCATTTGCGTAACCGTGAAAGATGTCAATAATCCTTTACTATCTTTAATTTTTATTCAGTTAAAGTAACATTTATTCTGTCACTAAGAAAAAACTAAAGGGGATACTAACAATTATTTATTACATAAGTAATCTTTCACGGTTGCTGCTTGGTTATCGAGTGCGTTTTATAGTGTATATGGTTTATTAAGTTAAGATTCCTGCTTCTACAATACTATAAATTTTTCATCTTAACTTTAAATTGTATGAAGTTTTATTCTGCAGTAGGTCAATAACTGTTAATTTAGTTAGTGTCTATTGTATATTAACTTCTGATATAAGTGGGTGTCTGTCTATTTATATGCATAAATGAATTAATAAAACATTACATACTTATTTTATTCTTTTTATTTTTAGATATTTTTAGATCGGATGAAAAATGGAGTTCATAGATTATACCAAAAAGTCAAGTGACAAGAGCAACATATGGCATCACTTTTTAAGAACGACGGATGGGCAAAAGGCGAAATGGAAACACTGTCATAGCATTTTGAAAATAAGTGGAAGCATGTCAACATTACACACCCACTTACACAAGAAACATTCCATTAATGTAAAAAGTAATGAAAGTGTCAGCACCAATTCTCGACAAAAAGACACACCCATCGCTTCAACTAGCAAAAGTTGTGTTCCATTTACTAAAAAGCAAAAAATGACCGACTATTATGAAAGCAAAGACTCTTTAACTAGCGTTATATCAAGAATGGTCGTTTTAGACGGGTTACCGCTAAAAGTATTTTATTCGTCGGCAGTTCTAAGACAGTTAATGCAAAAAAATTATAAAGAAGGCATCCCGAAGTCACCAAATTCAATAAAAAAATGATAATAGACATGTGTGACACAGAAAAATTGTCTCTCAATGTAGAGATAAAAGTTATGAAGACTAAAAATACCAAGTGGTCAAGCACTCTTGATGAGTGGACCTCAATTAAATCTCATTGATACCTAAATTTAAATACTCATTTTCAAAATGATGTTGGCGAAAAAGTCTGCAAAAATCTGGGATTCGTAAGGATTGTGGGGTCTATGGGAGCTGAAGCTAGTGTTTCACTCATAGAAATAAGATTAGATTCTTTCGGAATTTGTTTGGACAAAGACATCATTGGATTGAGAACTGACGGCGCAGCTGTCATGGCGAAGCTTGGGCGTATTCTGCCAATTCCGTTTCATCAATTATGCCTTGCACACGGTGTGATTCCGCACAAGATGTTTTATACAAAAAAAAATCAACAACCACGTGAGGATCCGGAAACATGCTCAGACTCTGAGTCAGATGAAAACTCTGATAATGACATTGATGACGTTGACGGATTTTTTGTCGAGCATTCACGGAGACACACTGATGCTGAGTGATGAATATAAGAAAATAATTAAAAAAGTCCGGTCAGTGGTGAAGATATTTAAAACTCACCTACGAAGAACGACGCCACGCTCCAAAGATATGTCCAAGCTGAATTTGGAAAAGAGTTATAAATTATGCTGGAACGATTTTTAAAGCAAAAATTATGCATACAGAAGGCATTGATTGATATGAAATCTGGTATTAAATTCTCAGATATAGAAATTTTATGTCTAGAAAATCTGCAAATTTGTTTGGACATGGTCAAAACTACTGTGGAAGTACTCTGCCGCAGAGATGCTAACATTCTAACGGCGGATACAGCTCTTAAATTTTTGATGAAATCATTAGACAGCCAAGACATGATGTCTGCCAGGCAACTGGCAATTTCATTGAAATGGAGAATAAAAGAGAGGAGATTCTATAATGTTATCGGCGCCTTACAATATTTACACAACCCTAATCAATTTTTAAATGAGACTGAGGAAGACGAAGATATATTTAAAAAAACTACGTATGAAGAAATTAAAAATGTGTTCTATCAAGCTGCATCCCTGTATGTTGACGATTGCACGGCCACGTCGACTAATACAATCTCTCCTTCAGAAACTGTGCGATAGTTCTGATCCATCGCCGCTCAATTTTAAAGAAAAGCTCAATCGCCAACTTTCTCTTGCAAATGAAGGTAGTGATCAACACCAGTCAACGAGTGTAATCAGCGCAACTGATTTGCCTCATTTTGACTCACGTTGAAATGGCTTTATTTGAAAACGATGGAGGTCGTGGAGAAATCCAAAAAAAAGTTCTGAACAGGTTGCTTTCCATACCGCCGACCAGTGTTGAGTCTGAGAGAGCTTTTTCCACAGCTGGCATGTTCTGTTATAAAATAAGATCACGTCTAAACAATGAGAGACTTGACGCTTTCATGTTTTTAAGATCTCGTTTTCTAAAAAGTATTGATTAATATATTATGTACTAAATTAATGTCATAAAAATAGAATTTATTAATTATTTCTTCTCTTATTTGTAACTGAGTTACCTTAAACATTCGTTTTTTCGAAACTAGTTTTATAAAAAAGATAGATACCTAAATAAGTTTTGTTGCATTTGGTTTTGTTATGTTTACGTTATGACTGTGTTTTGTTGTATATTTTAGTTGATTTTATTTTGTCGTGTCTGAATAAATGTAGATTTTAAATGATTTATGCTGTTTTATTTCCGTTTTATCAAATCACCTTAAAACGTCGAAAAATCCTGATTATCCGGATTTTAATTACAGGAAAATTCAGAAATTCGGATTCCAAAAAAATCCGGATTTTGCAATCTCTACTTGTGAACGATAAATCCGACACCTCCTTGGGACATATGGTCGCCCTCTCGGTGATAGAACAAGTTGCAGGATTCTAAGATTACCATGTCCTCCCCCTCTCTTCGGACCTCGGATGATCCTATAATATTCCAGTGCAACTTGTCTATCTCTTCTACAGCTCCAGGAACTTCTAGTCAGTCCTCAGGGTACGTGCGTTATATGTAGGTCGAGTCGTCTTAGGTGGCAACCGAACCTCCACCGGAAATTCTTAGCACCCCCTGCCCCACCGTTACCATGGTCGCCACCGTAGCCAGGAATAGCGGGGCCGCCGGGTACTGAGGGCCATCTCTTCGTAACTTTATTCATTGGGGGGTAAATTGCTATAGTTGCCACGCTTGGCGAGTGGGTTGGCAACCGCAGTTTTTTTTATTGTATTTTGTACTGTTATCAAAAAGATGCTGCTGCCCATCTTCTGCCTCAGTTTCCTTCTGTCGCCTCTTACGACACCCACGGGAAGATATGGGGTAGTGGGTATCCTTACCCGCCACTAAATGGGGAAATCGCCACCGACAAACTCAAATTTTTCTTTAAGATACATAAGGTAGCCGAATACTCTCTGACATCAGCAGGGGGTTTTACAGGGCCTAAACAATAATATTATGAACTTGGGAGAATCTATGAATGGTTTAAACTCCTTAATAAGAAAGGTGAAACAACTAACATTACTCTTCAGTGGATATTAGACCATAGTGATTCAAGAAGAATTGATGCCGTGGAAATTCTAGTCAGCGGCGGCTCAGTACATACGGCAGTACAGCCACAACCTATTACTCTACTTCTATTTTGGTTAGTGAGGTCTCAGGTGTAATGCCACACAAAAACCTACATGCACCACCTTAGATTAATCATATGGAATGCAGGAAAGTGAACGAGGCTTTACCTAACATCAACAGTGGCTTTTCAAAAATACCACTTAGTTTGAACAAATCTCAAGTTTGAACTATTATGAGCACTCTAACTGGGCATAGATAGTCCTTATAAATATGTATTGGTTTTTATAGATGTGATATAGAGAGCACTCCTAATGAAGTCCTGCAATCACCGGCAACAGAGCTAAGTACTTCGTATTCCAGGGTCTCTCTCCCTTTAATCTATAGTGTCATCAAAAAAATTGTTTGGATTCCTGCTGTTGTGGAGTTGCCAAAACCAGCCTGTGTATCATTAACTAAACTATGGTTATTTCATATTAATAAGTAGTACACAATACCATCAATTATAAATACATCACTCGCCTACAATTTGATGACTTTTTTTTAAATAATAAGGGTGACAAACGAGCACAGTCCACCTGATGGTAAATGGATACTGTGGCCCATAAACATTTACATTATCACCCTATGTTGGACTAAATTAGAATGCCTCATTTCCAGTAAAAAAGGTCTCCGTTTCTCCAAATTTACCATATGAAACACAGTAGTATTAATCTGCTATTTCATGCTGGGTTTCTTATTTTTGGACTAATAACTCTCAGAAGTCAGAGCAAGACTGTGCTTGTTAGTAGGACGGATATAGATTAACTTTACTTTTTCGTTTTTGGCTTGGAAGATATTATGTAGTCTTTTTAATTTTTGGTTCTGGGATTTTACATTTTTTAACCTTTTGAATTGGCTAAGAAATATGAAAAGATCAAAGTAGCAAATAGAATGTCTCAATATTAAAAAATTATTCAATTTTTTCCACCCATTAGTGGGTTTTTTTTAACTAAAATTAGAAGATCACCCTTGAAATATAACTTATGGATTTAAAAGAATAATTGAAATCAGTTCATCCGTTTTCTAGAAATCAGTGAACATACAATCTAATATATAAAAAACATGTGTCAAATAAAGAACTTCCTCGTTATTTGAACAAGGTTAAATTATAAAATTAAATAAATACTGATAAAATTACCTGGCAAGTGGACACCTTTATTGATATCTTCTCTTATTTCTATAACACTATGACCTCGTTCCTTGCCAGACAGCAAATCATAGCACTGCTCCTGGTATAGCTCCATGAAAGAAACAGTTACTTTGAAAATAAACTTATTTTCATGAGTTTCTACAAAGTCAAATATGTCAGCCACAGCCTGTGGTATCACACCTGGAATTATTTAAAATCATATTTTTTTATTATGTACATGTTAGCTCACAGTTTAACTTGATGATGAGGTGTTACTAGAGCTCATTATGTTAATATCATCCTTAAGAACTAAACTGTACAATATATACTGTATTTGGCTCTATAAATCCTCCAAATGTTATAAATTGTACATACATCACAAGTCACCAATCATGGTGATTACTGCAAAGCCTCCCACTGATAAAAGTTGCAAAAGTGAACATGCATTCTGTAATTTCTTACTGACTGAAAGTACAATTTAAGTAGTACAAATTTCAAGTTTGTTGCATTGCAAATTTTAGAGTAACTAATTTTTAAACTTGGTACCTAATTAGCACCTAAAAAGCCCCTAATTTGAGCTTTTTCTAAAAGCAATTTTGATTCTATTATGATTTTCAGAAAACCTAAATTTTGCATCTAATATGTTCTGAAAAACGATTTTATTTTTATTAGGCGTGCCTTGTTATTACCTATACTTGCAGCATCTAATTAACACTTAATTCCTATCTATTAATATTTATTGTATATCTAATAATTTTATTGTGTTGCTAGTGAGACGTTTTACTAACAACGCAAATTTCAACAGTTCGTTGAGGTGAAAAGCCTTTAATTTTGGGTTTTTCTAAATGCAAATACCTGATTTTGCGTTGCTGGCAATACACAAACTTCTTTTGCAACAAACATACATTTCTCTTGCGCAATCGGTTTTAACATACTCTTTAACTATATGTGGTTAAGCAAATAAAACAAGATTTCTTGATTTGGAAAGCATAGCATTAAGCGTCAGTAGCCTAATGGGAGGGCGCGGACCGTGAACTCGAAAGATCGTGGGTTCAAATTCGCCATTCAACTATTGTCGTGAACCACTTCTAACACAAGCATTTTAAGCTTACCAGAAGTGGTTAAAGGGAAAAGCATAGAAAGCATTAATAAATGTTACGTTTTTTAAGGCGCGTAAATTTTCGACTTACAAAATTTACTCCACTACTGTTATTTTATCTGTGAGGAAACTATATATTTTAAATACTGTATTGAAAAAACACAAATCTGTTTCTTACAAACCGAACATGATATTACCAAAAGGACACATAACATTAAACCTGAGAGACAATTAGGCAAGAAATCAGTTGACTTATATAATAAAATAAACAAGGAAATATAGTTTTACTCCTTAACATACACCAAGTGCAAAATTGCTCTCACTGAATGGTTAAGTTGAAAAGTTACAATGAAATAGAATCATTGATTTGAGTAAACATAGAATGTATGCATAAGTTGTGGAAACTGCAAAGAATTCCTAAATTAAAAATGTTAATGTAATGGCGCGTCTCCACCAAAGTTTTGTTGTCAACACAACATTTGTCAACACGTGTTGACGATTGATTCTATAATCACCTAGTTTTAGCAACAAAATGAAACAACGTCAGGTATCGTGTTTCCGTTTTCGGCGACAACATCAAAGGAATACGCTTGTTGCCGACATTTGTTCCCTCGGTGGAGACGCTTCTTGCAACATTTTGAAACATTTTCGGAAACAAATGTCGTCAACTTTGACGATTTGTCAACAGTTGGAAACATAAACGTTGTCGACATTTTTGGTGGAGACGCGCCTTAACACACCCACACAGGCGCGGGCGTGCGCGCACGTAAACGAACGCAGGCACGCACGTACGCTCGCACGTACGCATGCACGCACGTACGCTTATATTTGCAACAGATGTGTACCTTATTTATTTTAAAATTTAAATTGTAGTTCTTATTTATATTTATGTAGTTTCTAGTCTATTGTGTAACCTCACAATTGAAGGTCAGTAATTTCTAGCACAAGCAAGATTACTTATTTAAAAGGAAGCTCCAAATTACTTAAAATTATATTAGGTTTAGTTACCATAATAAACTATTTTGTATTTGTATTTGTTGTAGTTTAAATATTCACAACTAGCTGTCCCCCGCAACGTCGCCTGTGTGAAATTTACTTAGATTTCATTTCATGGGTTTTTTTTTTGAGCGAATCTCTAATTATTTTTCAAAAAATAAAATGATCCTAAGTTACTCTTTAAAACATCAACTATCTGCTAGTGACAGTCCCGTCAAAATCGGTCCAGCCGTTTCAGAGATTTTAGCCAGAACAAACAGACAGACATGAGAGACAAAAATTTTAAAACTTGTTTTTTTTGTTATTAGTACCATTACCATATATACTTTCATATGCATTTAGTAAAAAAGCTGTTATTTTGACATTATAAACAGACACTTCAAGTTTATTTATTTGTATAGATACAAACCTAACTTTGTGGAGTCCCCATCAGAACCTGAGTAATTAGTACCCATAGTATATGTTTTTCCTGAACCAGTTTGTCCATAGGCAAGTATTGTGACATTGTACCCTGCAAAGAAGAGAGATAAACTTAATCATAATAATCAAATAAATTCTCTTTATCAAACGACTTCAAAAAAGGAAGTTTCTCAATTCGTCGGAATCTTTTTTTTTTATGTATGTTTACCGATTACTCAAAGATGCCTGTACCAATTGGGAAAATTCTTTTTTGTTTTAAAGGGTATACTTTCCAGGTGGTCCCATTTAAATTTTATCGAAATCGGTTGAGGGGTTTTTAAAAAATCAACAGTAAATTATATTCATATTAGTCGTTTCTACAAAATTTGAAATTTTGCACTAGTATTTATTAATATTCAATTCAAAATTCATAATCTAAAATTCAATTTATAAAAAAATTACTTTTCATATTGTTATTCATGAAATTTTATGGTATTTACCTTGAAATAATTTTCCTATGAGACCTCTAACTGCAGTGTCATAAAACTCCTCTTGTGTAATATGTTGTGGAAATACATAATTGTATGTGAAAGCTAGGTCCTTAATTTGAACTTGCGGTTCCCCTGGTACAACTTCGATGCACTCATCACATCCTCGTTCTATTTCTTGCTGCATAAGAGGCCTAATCCGTAAAGCTACTTGTACAGTATCAAAGGCACCTTTATTGGTCTCGCCGTCCACCATTTTTCTTAATTTTACTTAGATCAGGTCGGTATTTTTCTTCAGTCGTTAATGACACACACAATTTTATATAAAACCAAATATTTTAAATGTTTCATGAAGTCAATTATCTTTTAACAATATGAAGGAAACATTTAATTGAACTTATTTTAAATCAGGAACGAGAAGCAAATTATTACATTTACATTAATACGTCAACGAGTTTTTTATAAATAAACGTTCAAATTCTTAACGGAATTCGGAATCCAAATAGTTATCATTATTACGATTTGCCAATTAATGCAGGCAAAGGTCTTAGACCATACAGCTTAGGATTATGTTGTGTATTTTATTCTTCTTATTTAAAAGAAAAATGGCTCCATCGTTTAACCCGTAGACAGTAAAATATAGATAGACAAGTCCTCAGCGTATGTCAGTAAGAGATAGCGATAGTTCGCCATAAGTATATTACTACAATTACATCGTAGATAAAGGATTGACTAGATAAAGCATTCACGTATGCTTTTGAGATAGAAATAGGCGGGAGGTACTTTCACTGGGTTACCAGATATTGTTCCATTTCCCCCGTTATGGGTTTATTTATATTCACAGCACTTATATTCATTCAAAAAACTTAATTGTTACCATAAAAAATGTTCTTTTATGATTCAGATGATTAATTAATTTCTCTTGAAAATACATTCTGTGACTAAAAACTACGGGCGGAAACGGCGTAAAAACAGAATCATCATTCTGTATTCAAGTATTATATGTATATATGTAGTACAAAACACGGTAAAGAGGCTACTCCCGCGATTTCCTGCAGGTTTTGCTAAGTTAGTGTCTTGTGTGCGGCAAGTCGTGTCGTACAAGAGAATTTGTCTGTACACGGAATGATATTACCCCGCGTCGTAAGCAATAATACAAGATGGGGATGGGGCAGCAGCACTTTCCCGATGAAAACTTAAAATAATAAATAACTACGGTGGCCAACCAGCATAACGCATATTTTCACGCAGGCGTGGCAACTATGGTAGAAGTCATCCTATAAGGATATCGAGGTAAGGCATTTTTTAGGTGACTTACTTATGGTTAGGTGGCTTAATCATGTTACCTAATGGTTAAGGTGGTAAAATGTTTTAGTTAATATACGCTGTAAAGCCTCAACAAATGGTTTGTTTTTGTAATATGTCCGTATATAAAATAAAAACGAATGTTTTATAATATTCTATTTTAATTTACCATGCAGTGTAAGATTATCTGCTACCTCATATAATTCCATGGGTGGTGTATGAGGCGACATAGGGAAACATCAAAGAAGATAAACAGCAGCATCTTCCTGATAACAGCTAAATAAAAAAAAACAGTGGTTGACAACCAAGCGTTCCAAGCGTTGAAACTATGTGAAATAACTATAATCATGTTTATGTTCAACAGTAGACTTTTGATAGACTGTAAAGATATATATTCTATTCAAATGGAAATATATAGAAATATAAAAAGGAAAAAGAACTAAATTTTGTGTACTTACACAACATTTAGAAATATTAACAATGTTACATTAGGTAAAACAAATGAAAACACAATTATATATTTATTATAATTCAATAACATTAAAATAAACATACGATTATTTATTAATTTTCATCACATTAATAAACAAATTTAACAAAATTTTTGTCTCCTTTTTAGAGCATTCGTTGTAATTCTTGGTTTGAGTAGCTTTAGAATTTCTCAAAAATATGCATTTGTAAACTTGATTTATACTTTGTATGGCAGAAATTCTTGGGTGCTGGTTGTTAGAATCGTATTAGAAGGGTGAATATACATATATTATGCCTTGTATATAATATATTTTAATGGTATAAATAATAAGGTACAACTCCTAAATTATACTTAGATAGGCCCAACCGATTTCATTATTGGTACCGGTACAGTATTGTTTATTGTTTGACCTCCTTAAATATTGTAGATGATTAAATCGGCATCCGGTATAATATTTTTTATCGGTAACAATAATCAATAAACGTTGTCAATCACAACTCTTTGCTAAATAAATCATGACGTTACTGGATAACAGAGGGCGTTTATTAAAATAACAATAAATTTTCTAGAGCAATCTACCAGAAATGATAAAATTTAAAAATTATTCGGTAAATATACATTATTCTTGAGATAATAAACCGAAATCACATTCAGTTTTTGCTCCATATCGGGACTTACAAATACGGATGCACAATCGGGCATATTTTCTACAAAAAATATTTTTTAATCTTAGGAAACGCATGCATCTTGAACTTTGGACGATGTCACTAAGACTAAATGACCCAAATCCGAAATATATCATATAGGACATAAGTAAGAGGTGACAATTTTGTTGCTGATGTCCGGTCTATTACTACTAACTTAAATGTCTTTGGATGTATATAATATAGCTATATATAGCGAATTAGTTCGGATTCAATTTGTAGGAGACGCTAGTTGTTGAATTTTGTCTGCAATAAAATACCGTCAGAGAGCTCTCTTTTCCTGTATATACTTATTATATATATTATATTACTCTTTGCTAGGCGCTAGTTAGTTGACACATGCTGTGTTGATTGTATAAAAATTTCTTGATAAAATATGCCATGGTGTGTTTTAGATATTACACAAATAATTCAAGAAATGTTTGCAAATACCAAGGAATAACTTTTCATCGTTGAGTAATATACTTAATAAAAAAGTATTATAGATTAATAATCAAACAAATTTTTCATAAGACGCCATCTCGGGTCATGAAATATATAATTTGTTCAGATGTGACGTTACTGTAGACGTACATTAGTGTGAGAATAATTGTGCATAATATTTTTTTTTTGCAGAAACTAATGTAAAGTTTTCATAATAAGGCTAAATTTATGATATTTTTGATGTGTGTAGGTAACGTTTTTTTTAAAAAGAGAGGAAAAGAGACAACTAAAGAAATTAAAAATTTTGCCTATAACCGACTTCAATATTAATACGCATTTTAAGGATTACTCCAAAACCACCGGTGTTTTTTTTGCATATAATTATAAATACTGCGGCTGCGTGCATAATATCGTCACTTGAAGACATATTGTTGCCAACAAAACTTTGGCGGAGACAGCAAGTTGTCAACTAAAATGTTTCTCAAATTGTTGGCGACATGTTTCAATTCGGTGCGGAAATATCGGAAACAAAAGTTGGTAACTTTTGTTGAGTTGCAAACAGTTGGAATTTCCCTCTAATGGCATACTCTACAATAATCATCCAATTTCAGTTGTATCTAACCATAAACTCCTGGGTGTTGTCATTAATAACAAACTTTGTTTTGATTTGCACATCAATCACATTATAACTAACTCTCTTAACCGGTTCAGTGCGAATGGCACGCCAGGCGTGCCATCAATTACTTTTGTGTGTGGCGTACGACACGCGAGTCGTGTTTTTAAAAAAATCGTTATAACTCGCTCAAATTGCTTTTTTGAAAGATTTATCCAGAACAAAATATTCATTATTTTGCAAGTAGTTCATGCCTACAGCTTCGTTCCTGGATATTTTGAAAATTTGAAATTTTTAGGGGTTGACAACCTTTTTTTAACTTGTGCATGGTACTCTTTTTACTTTGTGGGTTTTAAATCATGGTGTGGAAAAATAGTCTAATGAGTAATAAATATGCTATTATTTTTTTATGCTAATATTTCATTGCGATCGCTCACAAACTCAAGTTGTAAATAAATTTCTGGAAAACAAGTCTCCTGTTAAAAAAAAAGACAATGCGTTTGTCTGATTGTTTAATTTTGCTTAAAATGGTTGAACATGGACTGCTGTCTTATTACTATCATATGGCAGAATAGACCTACGAAGTACCATGTGCTCTTTTGATATGGTATAAGGTTTATTTTTGCTTGAAACAGTTTGAAAACGTTCATGCATAAAAAGTTCGCTAATAAATAGTCTTTTGTCAATCTGCCACCGTATAGCGCCGGCGTTTTTTCCCTTTTGAAAACACTTGTTTTGCTATTCTTACTAATAAGACGTTTTCAGATCGACTTTAGTTTTACATTTTTATAACATTAAATAATATTTAACATTTGCAAATATCAATGAATGATATACCTTTTTTCTTTCAAATTAAAGTTCTTCATTGTTTGATATTTAAAAATGTTATTACTAGGTGAAAATTTAATTTAATAAAAACCAGGGTTTCCAGGGTGATTTAGCTGTACCTACTTATATAAATGATTTTTTTATAACAACAAAAAAATAGTATAAAAGGCTTGTAATCTCTTCATAAAAAAGTCACTTTCTCTCAATTTCAAAGAAAACGCGTAAAAAAACACGTAGTTACCCACTGAAAACAAGTATCCTTCCACTTGTAACTTATGTTTGATGTCAAATAAACTTAATTAGGTCTGAACAAGTAAAAAAAGCATAAAAAAGAACATTACTTTTACACATGGCGGATGGCACAATAGGCGTGTCATGAAATATTTGTTTGCCGCCACAGCTAAAAGTTGTCGAAAATCAGTGCCGCAACGAACCAGTTAAGGGCTTAAATATTATAAGATGTTTAGCTAGTGTGACTTGGGGTGAAGCCCCCAAAGTTTTAAGTATGCTATATAAATCTATAGTCACAAGCCATTTCGACTACAGTTGTTTAGCCTACTCAAATAGTAGTTGTGTAAAAAAACTAGACATAATTCAAAACAAAGCTCTGCGAATTATTTCTGGGGCTATGTGTTCAACTCCCATACGAGCTATAGAAGTTGAAACCAAAATAATGCCACTGTGTCTTAGAAGACTTCTGCTGATAGAGAGATATTTACTAAAGCTGGTATCTGGTAATGATAATGTTCTCAAAAAAATAGTACCTTTACCTGTACAATGCTCGGCCCAGCAGACTTCGGGAGGTGAGCTTTTACGAGGTTATTTCTAAGTTCTGCCTCTCATTGTACAGCAAATGAATGAAGATTTTATAAAGGCATGCAACACATACCCATATTCCTGTATTATATTTGAGACCAATATTGTTACCAAAAATTTTTTTAATAATTGTGAATTATTAAGTATTCTTTCCGACAATAACTACTATACTTTATATACAGATGGTAGCAAAAGTGAGCTCTTTGTGCGCAGTATTGTTTATGATCCCCAATCCAAGTTTGGTCAAAGTTTTCTTCTGGACCCTAAATGCAGTGTTTTCACTGCAGAGGTATATGCGGCCCTCGAGGCCCTGAAAAGGATTGCACATATAAATAGTTTTAATATTTTTTTAATTTTAACAGACAGTTTTAGTATGGTCCAAAGTTTGACCAATCTCAGATTTGACTTAAAAAAAAAAAAACTATATTTTGTATAATATTAAAAAATTGTTATTTAGTTATGCACAAAAGGGTATACAGGTCTCTTTCATGCGGATTTCATCACATTGGGGCATAACAGGAAATGAGATAGTAGATAAAATTGCACGTAATGGAACCAACATGTTCGATGTTAGCTCCATAGTAAAAGTACCTTTGACCGCCTGTTATCAATCTATTGACAACCAGGTCAATAGCTTATGGGTCGAATTTTGGAAACAAGATCAAGAACAGAAGGGTAAATGGTATGGAACTGTTAAAGAAAAACTACCTGTAGCACCATGGTATAACAAACTGAAAATGGCCAGTCGGGACTTTATTATGACTATAAACAGATTACGTTTTGGTCACTCATCGTTCCGGCCCACCTGACTCGGTTGGGCATAGTTGAGAGCAGCTACTGCACCTTCTGCAATAATTCTGTTGGTGATATCGAACATTTCATATTTACATGTGAGTGCTTTTCATTTGACAGATTGATTCTTGTCAGTGAAATTAGTGACATAGTGCAAAATCAAGTGACAGAGCAAGATCCCTCCCGCCGCCTGAGTGATATGTTAAAAAATAGATCCTATTACGTGCCTCTATATAAATCCATCAAAATACAGTGGGGAAATTATAATAAACCGAATAAAAGTACTCAAGACTTGGCTTAAAGGTGTAGATACCAAGCCATAAACTCCAAAAAAAAAAACAGTTGGAAACATAAATGTTGTCAACATTTTTGGTGGATACACGAATTAACACAGAACGCAATCCTGTCTTTCATGTGGTTCGATTTTCCGTTTAACCGAGTTCTATTCAAAAATGAACTTTATGTCGATGGAACTGAGGTATTTTTTGTGCGGAATTCTATTTTGCCCGTGTTGCTATATTATTAAGAAGGATAATTTCCTTTTATACCATCACAGCTATTGTGAAAATGGCTAAAATATAACTGTCTGAGTCCATAATTAAAAAATGTTTGTCTTTTGTCACCGTCATAGATCATCTAGAGTATTTTTATAATGTAATATCAATTGTCAATGTCATTTGTCAAACTCAAAAAACGAGCGAAAGTTGTGAAAACAAATGTTATCCCATGGCTTACATCTATCACCTAAATCAAATAAATCATTTTTCTAAAGAGAACGTGAGTTTTTTGACTCTTAAGTATTCAGAAAAAATAATGACAACAATACATATGTGTTAAATCAGTTTGTAAATTAAGATAAATCAACTTGTTACTGCGCGTCATGCCGCCGAAAACCAGAAAAGTTAAAAATAGTGGATCGTTAAAAGAAAATGTGTGTGTTTCCATTCAATCTAAGTCAAAAAATGTTCATAAAAGTGTAAAAGCCCCCAGAAAAGCCTTAGCCGATAAAACGAATTCGGCATCAGATGATAATGAGACTGTTATTTCTGCTAAAGTTTCCAGTAATACAGGAAAAACGTTATGTGTTTTAAAGAGTCCCGATGATAAAAATGATCAAGTTTATAACGTACGACCCCGCCGAAACCGAAAGCTCCCAAATAGATTTGTCGAGAATCAAATTTTGACTAATCTTCATGGAAATGAGGATGAAAAACCTAATTCCATAACTGAAAATGTCACTAATGATGAAAGAGATAGTAATTTACAAAACAAAAAGGCTGTGGTGGTATTAACATCATTAAAACCACACAATAAAATAACAGAAACCAGCTTAGCAGATAGTCGCCCCAAGAGAATCTGCCGTCTTCCATCTAAATTTGAGGATCATTCAGTTAGTCCCAATAAATATATCCCAGTACAACCAATACAAGCTAGTACTCCAATAGTGCAAAATAAAAGTTCTAAACTATCTAGTAAGATTAAAAACACAAAAGATAATGTTGAGGTAAGTAGAACTTTACGAAAACTCCAAAGTAAAATTAGGAATAGAGTCAATATTAAAGAAGATAATTTAGAAGAAAACACAAACAAAAATAAGGATGTATCCATAGTAAATTCAAAAACAAATCAGGTTCAGTCAAATAAACCATCACCTATTAAGAAGGTTTCACAAAAAACACAAAAAGGTGCTAAAGATAATTTGGTTTCAAGCAAAAAGCAAGCTGATACTAACAACAATGCAAATGACTTAATCAAGGATAAATATTTGTGTATTGCATCATCCCCTTGTATGAATGAAAATAAAAATAATAATACTGGCTATCGATTCTTGGAAAAAAATTATTCCTTCAAAGTTTTAGATGACCAGAAAAAGGCAATGAAAAGAAATGCAAATACCCTCGATGTTTATGAATTTACTTATGATCCTACAGAAGAACCCACACCACAAAAAAAGAAACGTAAAAGAGTTGTTCAAAAAAGAAAGCAAAAACCTAAAACAATTTACACAAATACTTATGATAAAAATGTGGCAAAATCTTTAGCAGCCTTAAAAAATGTTCTATTAACAAAATCATCACAAACTAAACTACTCACTGAGAAGATGGTCACAGAAACAAAAACAATTCAAAATAATACTACATCTAATCCGAACTTAAATCCGAACACGGTAATGAAAACAGCTACACAACAAGTAAACAATGCATGCCCAGAAGCTTTAGAGAAACATTACAATTCCTTCCAAGTAGAAGACATTGTTTTGGAACATGAACCTGTAGCTAATGGTCATAGTGACATTAATTATTCTCCAGTTAATTCTCCTAATCATGGCATTATACCATCTGAACCTAAACAAGGCACAAACAATGCTGTGGAAGTAATGACCACAAATAAAGACCCACTAAACCTGCAAGATGACCTCAGTTTCTTTGATGAATGTCCAGCAGCTAGTAGTAGCATGAATGTGTCCACAAGAGATCCCTCGGCCACACCTTGGAGAGTTGAATTTGGAAAACTGCCTATAAAGTGGCAAGTGAACACTTATGTCAAACCTAATATGACTCCGGCCTTTGAAAGTTCCTTCATTAATTTCGGTGATGATAAAAGGAAACATGTTTATACAAACATAGTGCCAGAAGAGAATGGTACATTACCAGAAATATTAGAAAGTGATAATGCAACAAACTTGAAACAGACAAATATCATTTCATTTTTCAAAGAAGTAGTAGAGAAAAGTACCAGCAAAAAATGCAAAAACAAAGCAACTCCAATAAAAAGTAATTCTATTTTTGAGGATATTACAAACACTTCTGAAACAGCAGTCACTCCAGTTAAACAAATTGCTTCAATTAAAAAAAGTGTTACACCAAAAAAGAAAAAGTCTTCAGACAATATCACAAGTAGTACAGATAACACGTCTGTTAGTTATAAAGAGAATTCTATTGAAATAATGCAAAATGATAAACAGAAACCACAAAGTAAAAAAAAAGATACTGATTTAACATTCTTTGGGTTTGATGACAGTGATGAACAAGACCAAGAAAATGTATCACCAAATAAAAAAAAGTGTCACAAAAGAGCTTTGAGACCACGCTCTAGAGCTGTATTAAAAGAGCTAAATGTACAGAGAGTACCTACAAGAGCTGTATCTGAAACAGAGAAAAATAAAAACAATGCTGATGCTCATAATAACAAAATGTTGGATGATATGAAAGCAAGTAACCCTCCAGTCAGTCAAGAAAACTCAGAAAAAATTTGTGAAAATTCAAAAGATGTTAATGATGCAATGATAGCTAATAGTGCCAACTTGAGTGGAGAAGACTCACAATCTGTGCATTTATTTGAAGACCTTGAATTGTTGGATGTTATACATCATGTAAAGGTAAGGTTAATTTAAGAAACATGTATATGTGATAGAGCCACACTGCAGTTGTATAAGTATGAATAATAAAATAGCGTAAACGAGCGAACCGCCCCGGCTTTGCATGGTGATTTCTGGATCTTGACAACAACACCACCTACCGGGTCCAATTGTAAATCTAAACCATTGGTAAAACTATAGACATCCGGTACTTGCGTACTTGGGTGGGAGGGGTCAGGGGAAGCCCCCCTACCCTTCCCCTTTTGCAGAAATGTATAGTTTATGAGTAATATTTTTTTTTGTTAAATCATAACCTCACTTTATTACACAGGGATATTGACTCAAGGTTACTTCTGCAACGGCTTTGGCGCTGCAGGAAGTGCAGCCCTTCGCTCTTCCCTTGCAAATCACAGGCACCCATGCTCACCTCCACAGGTGCCTGCGATTTGCTACAGCGGGCGGGGGCAGCTCTCCCTCCGCACCTATGGCATTACAAAAATATTCTAGGTGTAGGACAGAGATGGACAGATATGGAGTGGGGGCATGCTGATTTGGTTTTAGTACAGATTTGACCTATCTTATCTATAAAGTTAGGTTGACCTAAACTCTGCTATGATAGTGGTAAATGAAACAATTAATGTGAATTGTTATAATTTTGATTTCTTATATTTACGCAAAGACTACACATTAAATGAAACAAATTTTTACGGATTTTATCACATTTAATTTTACTTTTTAATTCCCGACGTTTTGGATGCTTTACAGCACCAACGGTCACGGGGCTGGGAGGGTTGGGGGTCACAGTGTAAAAACACGAAATTGACATATTTGCATTTACTTAGCTTCAAGCTTAACCCCGTCTTAAACTGGAAAAATAATTAAAATCAAGTAATCGACGTCTACTTCGTAATACTAGACCAAATTGACATATATGCATTTATTTATAAGCAATTTTTAGTGAAATTCATTTTTATCGTAATAAATTCAAAATTTATTTCTGACATCCAAAAACGGTGTAAAAGGTTCAAACTTAACCCTGACAAGCCTCCTAAACTGAAAACATAATTAAAATCAAGTACTGGATGTCTATAGCCAACCCAAACCATTCTCTAATCTAAGTTGATTAGAGAATGTAAGCTATTCACATCACACACACATATTTTATCAAAATTGGTCCAGCCGTTTAGGATGAGTTCAGTCACATACACACGGGCAGAAGAATTATATAATATATAATATAAATGTATTATACATATAAACATTCCTTTTGAATCATTCTTCTATTAATGAAAACCGCATCAAAATATATCAGGGTACAGAAGGCGGGAAGCAACTTCGTTTTATATGTATATATTACTATGTAGTGATAATAGTTGCATGAATGGGTCAGTTTAACCAGGGATGATCACACTCTCACAGATTTTTTTTCTCTCCACTTTAGGTAATGTGGTTATTTTGCTATTTAGTACGGTTTTTTCTACCTAGGAGTCTGTAGTAGGCTTAAACCATCTAAAGTAAGAATATCGAACCATGTATAATATCCCTTTATGTTCCTTCACAACATTCACTGTCTGTAAGCTACAGAATATCTATATTTTATTAACCGACTTCAAAAAGAAAGAGGTTCTAAATCCGAGTGTATGTTTTTTTTGTATGTATGTATGTTACACAATATCTTCACGGATAATGAACCAATTTTAATGATTTTTTTTATTAAATAGGTTCAAAGATGGTGCCATATAAATTTTGAGAAATAATTCCACCCCTAAGTGTAGCAAGTAAATAACTTCTTTTTAGCAATTTCTAGTCGGTTTATACTTTTTGTTAAATGCTAAAATTATGTTTCATTGGTGCAGCTAGCTTAGTAATAGATTAAGGTGTTTCATTTTATAGGTGATATCACATCTGTAGACTCTTGAGTTTGAAATAGGTTGTAAGTGTCCATGCACTGCAGTACCTACACTCAGCGGCACGGAATCTTGGCCAAGCGGTTATCTCGCGATAGCAAAAGCTTTAAGTGTTTCTGATGAATGTTTGTTATGCAGGTATGTCAAAAAATGTTTGCTCTCAAGTTCAAGAGGGTAATTCATTATGTTTAAGTGCACCATGACGAATTCTTTAATTTTTAGTTGAATCGGGTCATTTGAGCGACTAAGTTCACATTTTAAATTTGTGTGTTGTGAAAAGTTTACTGTAAGGTTATTCAATTATTGTGATCTTGTGTCTTAATTCAATAACTAAAGGTGCTTTAAAGCCAATAAAAATGCCATTAACACCAGCACAAGTTGCACAAGCAGTAGCATTAATTGACCAAGGGCTGACACAGCGTGAAGTTGCTATTGTGCTTAACGTACCACGGTCCTCAATGCAGTATTCACTGAAACGATACCAGGAGACAGGACGCTACACCCGCAGGCCAGGCAGTGGGGGCGTAAGGTGCACATCGGCCCGGGAAGATCGTTTTATTGTTATGGAGATTTTGAGAAACCGCTACCTGACCGCTGTTGAGATACGCCAGCGGCTCCAAATCGCAAGAGGCGTTAATATTAGTGAGCGTACGGTGAGAAAACGAATGGAGGAAGTGAATTTAAAAGCTCGTAGACCGGCACGAGGTCCAGAACTTCTCAGACAGCACCGAGTAGCCCGACTTCAGTTCGCAAGAGAACATGTCAATTGGACCCACGAGCAATGGGCTAGAGTGTTGTTCACAGATGAGTGTCGAATAGCTTTACGTGCTCCAGACGGTCGAGAACGAGTGTGGAGAAAAAGAGGAGAGAGGTTTCTACCCATTACCACCACCCAAACTGTGAGTTTCCATGGAGGCTCAATAATGGTATGGGGAGGTGTAAGTTCCGACGCACGTACAGAGTTGGTCATCGTCGATAATCGGCTTACAGCTACTCGATACATCGAGGAAGTTCTTCAGGAGCACGTAATTCCTTATTCGGGATACATTGGACACGACCAATTCCTCCTCATGCACGATAATGCACGCCCGCACGTCGCACATTGTGTAGAGGAATATCTGGAAGAGGTTGGAATACAAAAATTACAGTGGCCAGCTCGTAGCCCGGACTTAAATCCAATTGAGCATGTATGGGGTATGTTCAAAAGAAAGATAAAGTCCAGCTCCAAACCGCCACAAACTCTAAATGAGCTCCGAAATGCAGCGCTGGCCGCTTGGGACAGCATACCGCAAGTTGATGTCAGAAACATCATTCAAAGCATGCCAGATCGAATGCAAGCGGTTATCAGGGCTAGGGGAGGAAACACCCGATATTAAAACTGATAGACAATAAAGAAACAGACTTAATTTTTAACTTTGTAGTGTTTTTAAAGTGACAATGGAAAGATGTTAATTTTAGTGAAAACATGTTATCTTGAAAAGAAAAATTTCGGTGAAGTAAACATTAAATTTCTACGTTCTAAAACCATTAGAGACACTTATTCAATGCATCTACCCTTAATTTACTGTTAAAAAAACGTTTCAGTGCAAATAATCAGCAAATTCACGAGTGGCCAAGTTTCCGTGCCGGTGAGTGTATATGTTAAATAACACTGCTGTGTTTGTATGGTGAGTGTAGAGAATCGGAGACCCTTTTTATTGGAAATGATACATTTAGATTGGATTTTATTGCGAATAAATGCAGATGTCTATAGGTCACAGAATCCACTTACCATCAGGTGGCCGGTATGTTCATTTGTCACACTTATTCTATAAAAACATTAAAAAATCCATTGCTGAACATGCCTTCCCTATAGATTATTCCATAGGATGGATATTTTCCATTGATGCCACTGACATATTGAATTGTTATGAGGAAAATGCTGCTGCATGTTCCCTTTTTTAATTCACTCGGTCAGTCTGTGTACGGCACAGAGTGACTGAGTGAATTAAACCACAACATTATATAGAGTAGTGGATTCTTACACTACTACCTACAAAGCTTATACTTTTACTATATGAATTTTATTTTACATCTGGATGTTTGGCGGTCCACCACTGTACGTTTCACTAGTTTTCTTCTGCGTACGAGTTCTGTGGAATAGCTTACCACCTTTTTCCGGGACGATACGACTTAGGGACCTTTAGGAAAAGAGCTTACTCCTTTCTAAAAGGCCAGCAACGCACCTAGCGGCGGCGGTAGTCACTTCCCATCAGGTGAGCCGTATGCTCGTTTGCCCTTTCTCCTATAAAAAAAATATGATCATTATTATGCATATTTCTTTTCTAGTGTCTAAATCTTTAACTTTTTAAACAATATTTTCTATGTCATTGATGCAGAATAATTTATATTTGCTTGTAAATCTTTTTAGCCATTGAGAAAAAGCTACGGTAGAAATAAGAAAGTCACGTTCCGACAAAATTCAGTGTCAAGTGACACACAAGAGAGTGATATTGGTGAGCAAAATAAGTCCAGCGAGGAAGAAGACAATTTAGATGACCTAACTTTCCAGATGCCTACAATAGAACCGAAAAAAATTAAAAGAAGAAAGAAACCGAACAAACAGTTTTCAAAGAAAGAGGTATGATTTAGTTTCTCTATACTGCTTTATTATAAACTCACATACTCACCTTAGCTTTGCAAGGATGTGATTCATCAGTGTGATCTTTTCTTTTTTATCACTTGACTACAAAACAAAAATGTTTCTACATTATTCTAAATTCTGAAATATATGTATTACACATACAAATCTCTTCTAGACTTTTTTTTAAATTATGGTGGAAACTGAATCCAAATTCATAAACAAATTTTGGGATTCTAAACAAATACATCAAGAGACATTAAATTTTTCACTGATATATGAAAATTTTAATTACTTTTAGGGTTTTTTCTTGCATTTGTATGAATTTTCGCAGGCATCCATTTATATCATTTTAGTGCCCTAAATAACAATAATATTAGGGGCTTTTTCTTCTTGTAAGTGCTACCAAAAGGCCAAAAACTATGGCCTGGTTTTTCTTGAAAGTATAACAATGTGACATACTACATAATTTTAGGTTCTACCATTTCTTTCTACTTCTTGTTTCTTTTTTCTTTATTTAATAAACGTTACCCCCACACTAGGAATTTCTCCTGCATTGTGGAGGCAGTTTACAAACATAAATTGCATGAGGACAAACATCCAGACCCGTAACAATTATTTGTAGGCCACACAAATACTTATTACGTGCGGGATTCGAACCCGCGGCCCCCAACGCAACTCATTGCTAAGCCACTGCGTTACGGAGTCGTCAACCATAGTTTATTATGTTTATTTATTTACAAATGTCATGCAATAATAATTTTATGTAAAAATTAAACGATATGTGTAACCAAGGTGGAATGGTTCTTGATAGTATAAACATACATTTTACTATAATAACTTCTTAATAGCAAATAAATAACTTCTTAATAGCAAATAAATAACTTCTTTTTTAGTAAGTTTTTTTTTTTAATTTTTTTTAAAAAAAATACTAGTAATGTTATTAAACATTACTAATATTCCCTTTAACCACTTCCGGTAAGCTTAAAATGCTTGTGTTAGAAGTGGTTCAAGACAGTAGTCGAATGGTGGATTCGAACCCACGACCTTTGGAGTTCACGGTCCACACCCTGCCATTAGGCTACTGACGCTTTAAAAGTTGAAGTTTACTTTTGTTAAAAGTTATAATTATTAAAGTCTTTGTTGTATTTTTTCAGGAAAAAGAAGCCGATGCGTGGGCTGCAGGCTTTAACTCTATGTGTGAAGATGTTGATGAGTTTGATTTAGTCATTGAATGAATAATACAATAAAATCAACAATTTACGCATCAGTGAAATAAGATTTCAGTCTACAATACTCCAGCCATCATGTTACATTGGTTGATACGCCAATTAAAAATATTAAGCAATTGTGAAAAATAAAACATAATGTTTTATATAATATACATTCTTATGTATTGCATTAGCCACTATAAATTTTTTAAAGAGATTTGCCTGTTGTGTTTAAATCATGAGGTATGTTAAAAATAAATTATGTATTAAGCTATAATTTTAAATTATAATACGTAAAGTCCGTACAGTGCAGTGACAATGTAATAATACTACCACTACCCCATATCATCCCATGGGTTTCGTAAGAGGCGACAGTGGGAAACAAAGAGATGGGCAGCAGTACCTAATAAGACTAAAAATAAAAAACTGGTCACCAAGTGTGGGAACTATGACAAATAATCCCCCATATGATTCAATCTATGGGGGTGGCCTATTTTCAGCAGTGGACTTTTATAGGCAGTAATAATTGGATGTATAGAAGATAATCTACCAGGAGCACATGACCCACTGAAAGGGGAAATTTTCAAATCAACGGTAACATTACAACTATGGCAAATAATCCCCCATATGATTCAATCTATGGGGGAGGCCCATGTTAAGCAGTGGACTTTAATAGACTGTAATGGTAAGGGTAATACATAAAGCTGCTTTTATTTCTTTTTAAATACTATAGTTATAAGTAAGACTAGCATTTTTACTTTTATAATGTTATCAATGATTTGCCATTAATTTTGTTTAAAACAAATGTCTGAAAGTAATATTATGATTTAAGATTACAACCTTTTAATGTGTATATTTCAGTCTTTAATTTTAAACATATTACAACATCATAGGAGCAATTATGTTTTGTTTATTTTGATTAAGTTATTTATTATCGAATTTACATTTCTAATAGAGTTTAAATAACCTAATTGTTTATTGCCATAAGTTAAAGAACAATTTTTATATTTTTTGCGTGTCCAGTTTTAATATTACTCTTTAATTTATATAAGACTTAGTTTGTAATAAGTAAATATAATTGTGGAATTAGTGTTTAAATATATGTTTAATTTGCTGGTTCAAAGTATACTTATTAATGAGTGAATGGCAACAAATCATCCTTAAACTTTGGGTTTGGGTTTAAAAATTTACTAATATAGCATATCTCTATCACACACCTTAAATGTTGCAAACATTTTCTAGACTTAGCTAGACCGATTCTTAGGTACAAAAAATCTTTAATTCGTTAATGTAACTGGCATCATTCCCTGTACTAAAACCCCATCAAAAATTAGACTAGCCTTTGCCCAGTCGTGAGCCGTGGTATCCACGCCGCCACTATCAATGTTCTTAATTGCTAAGTGCTGATATATAATGTGTTCGAACATATAATTATAGATATACAGGGTATATTTGAAACGCTCCCGAAAACGAAGACAGACAACAGTACCACTATACCTATGAAGATGGGTGAAATATAAAATCAATCCTGATGAAAAAAAATCATCTTTTCACAACGTTTTACTAGCTTTATTCATTCTCTATCATGTTAGTACAGCTAAATAAAACGATAATTACATTAAAAAAATCATGAAAATATTTAAACATAAACCAGCAGTGGAATTACTGAATTACAATCAGCTGACTAGGGGTCAATGTACGCACAAACGCCGAATTCGCGCGGCCTGCAGCTAGCGGCCTATACAACAATACCTAATAATTTACAACACTTGTCTAAATACTTAACTTATCTACTCAACCTACTATTTTGCCACTGTGCTTGTTTCCACGTAGCTACTTTAATTAGAATTCATAGGTTAAATAACCCAAATAACTGATTCGATTCCCCGCTAATGAAAAAAAATACTTTTTTTTTATAGGATATGGTGACAAACAAGCACATAGTCCACCTGATGGTAAGTGGTTACTGTGACCCATAGACATCTACATCTATCGTCAATAAAGACTCAAGATGTAGATGCGTTGTCACCCGTGAGGACTAAGATGGAATGCCTCTTTGCCAGTAAAAAGGGTCTCCGGTTCTCTACACTCACCATACGAAACACAGCAGCGTTAAGCTGCTATTTTACGCTGGTTTTCTGTGAGAGCGTGGTGCTTCCCCGGTCGAGCCGACCCATTCGTGCTACAACTATACTACTAATATAGCTGCAGCATGGCTCTACCACGTTAAGTGAAATGTAACCAAGGTTAGATTCATGCGTTTTTATTCATCGTGTAGGTATGTTTAGTTTAGTTTAGTTTAGTTTACGACGGGCTGTTTTCCGCAACTCCACGTCTATGCGCGTATTTTGCGTGTGGGCAGGAATAATGTGATTATTCGAGCCATGAGATCTCTCCGAAGAAGCTCAACAGGCCCTTGATGTTGCATGCAACTTCGGGGAGTGATCCCGGCGTGCCGAGATGTTTAGCCCTGTATGTAGCGACCTCCGGACATTTCAGTAGCACGTGGGCCGCCGTTTCTTCCTCCCCCATACATGCCCTGCACAGGGGACTATCTGTAACACCTATAGTAAATAAATGTTTGTTAAAGGTGCCGTGTCCTGTGATAGCACTTGTTACTATCCTAATCTGCGGCTTGTTCAGTCTCATTAAAACTTTTGTTAAGCGACTGTTAATTTCAGGCAGGGCATCCCTAGCTTGTCTACAGTCTACTAGATTTTTCCAAAGCTGAGCGTGTTGATTAGTAAAGTGTCTACGTACCAGTGAACAAACGTTACCAAAGGGGATTGGTATGATTGGTTCCGGCCCTATAGTGGCCAAAGCCGATCCTCTTCTGGCAAGTTCGTCTGCTGCATCGTTGCCTCTGGATCCACTGTGTCCCTTTATCCATTGCAGGGTCACATTGTTGTTTTTACATACCTCATTTAATCGTTGATGGCATTCATATATTAGTCCCGAGTTCACCACATTGCATCTCAGGGCTTGGAGTACCGCCCTACTGTCGGTCAGTATTCTGATGGGGAAGTCATTAACCTTCCTAGCATCTATTGCTATGGCCGCTTGAATGATACCCATACATTCCGCCTGAAAGACCGTGTTATAGGTACCCAGCGGTGTGCATATGTGAATATTGAGGTCTTCAGAGAAAGCTCCACAACCTACACCTTCATTTGTTTTAGAACCATCGGTGAAAATTCTAAGCTCTTTTGGGCTTAATCCTTCCGGCTGGCTGTTTTCATTTAACTGTATCTTGTATTTCTTATCGAAAACAAATTGTTTAGGAATCCTATCGTATTTGGCTTGTAGGATAGGAATTTTTGAGTGAATTCTATCAATTATGCCTGTATGAGGGACACTATTCTTACTCCAAAGATTTAGGGTCTTGAGTCTGATGGCAGCTAAAGTCGCTTCTTGTTGTATATGTAGATGAAGCGGAGTTAGCTCCAGCATCGCTTCTAAGGCTGCTGTTGGCGTAGTTCTCATGCAGCCTGTAGCAGCCATACATGCCAGTCTCTGGTAGCGCTGAAGCTTTTTAATTATGGTGGCTTCATTTGTCTTGGTCCACCATACCAGAGCGCCGTATGTGATCATGGGCCGAATTACAGTTTTGTAAAGCCACAGTATGATTTTTGGCGTCAATCCCCATCTTTTGCCAATCATGTTTCTGCATTGCCAGAAAGTTATACTAGCTTTGTTGATTTTGTTTTCTATGTGTTTATTCCAGTTAAGTTTGCTGTCCAAGGTAAGACCTAAATATTTTACCTCAGAGGATAGCTGGAGTTTTGTGCTAAAAAGACTTGGAGGATGATAGTTATTCAGCTTTCGTTTTTGTGTGAACATAACTAAAACCGTTTTATTTGGATTGACAGTTAAGTCGTGTTCCCTGCACCATCTCTCCACTATACGGAGAGCCGCTTGGGTCAGGTCGCACACTATGCTTGCTGTCTTTCCAGAGACCAGTATTGTCAGGTCATCAGCATAACCTACTGTATAGAAGTGATTGTCATTTAATTTGCTGATGAGTTCATTAATGACCATATTCCACAGGAGAGGTGAGAGAACCCCACCCTGCGGGCAGCCTTTCTTAATTTGGATTGGTTGAGATTCACCAGCAATCTTTATTATTCGTGTACTGAGCATGTAAACTATCCAGTCGATCAGTGCCGGTTCAACTTTGTGTCTACCGAGTGCACCTTTTATGCTGGAGAAGTTCGTTCGGTCAAAAGCACCTTCTATATCTATGAAGGAACCTAGACATATTTCTTTGTTTTGGATGGCCTCTTCAATCTTTGTAATTACCTTATGAAGGGCCGATTCTGTTGATTTGCCTAGACTGTAGGCGTGTTGCTTGTCGTGTAGTGGTAAGTTCATTAGCGCCGACCCCCTTAATTCCCTTTCACACATCCTCTCCATCGTCTTTAGGAGAAAGGATGTGAGGCTAATGGGCCTGTAGGATTTAGGGTCAGTGTAGTCGCTCTTACCTGGTTTGGGTATGAATGTAACTTTCACTTCCCTCCATCCCCTAGGAACATATTTAAGAGCAAGACAGGCTCGCATTATGGCAGCAAGTCTGACTATTAGGGCTTTACCCCCCCACTGTAGGAGTGCCGGGAATATGCCGTCGGGTCCTGCCGCCTTATAGGGGAGGAAACTGTGAATGGCCCAATGGATTTTGTCCATCGTTACCACTCTCTGTGCTAAATTCCAGTCTTCTGCTGTTGATGTCAGTATGTCGTCATGCCGGTTTGCCTCCTGGGTTACGCAGCAACCTGGGAAGTGCGTTTCAATTAGGATGCGTTGGGCTTCATCCGGCGATGTTGAGTAGCTACCGTCGGGTTTCTTTAGAGACATGGATCCCGACGTGTTCTGTTTAGCTAGAATATTCCTAATCCTATTTGCTTGTTTGCAGGTTTCTATGTTGCCACAGAATTTACGCCACCCAATCGAGCGTCGATACCTGATACATTTTTTGTATTCAGACTTAGCTTTCTTATATAATAGCCAGTCTTCATCCATTGAGGTATTCA